AGTTTTATTAGACGTTTACAGGATGGTGCCCGCATGCGTAATAACGTGTCGTATATTTTGTGTGAGAGTATATAGAGTATCTATGCTAGAGCTGGGAGGATTATTTCAACAATTGGAACGAATTATATCGGGAGATTTATAGCAGAAATAAAGAGAAGAATTATCGTAACATGGTAGAAGATTATGCTAAATTTGCAATAAAAAAACGTTTACGACCGTTTAACATTCAGAAATGTAATCCATTAATTTCAAACTCTACTAATCACACGTTAATTATAATCTTATATAGATGCTAGATGATTTTACACAAAACTTGTTTTCATTCAGATATCAAATTAATCTGATCTTTTATTAGTTAAATATTATCTATTTTAGCTTCTCTCACGTCATTAAAACTATCAACATATATTATATTCTATCGCTAAATCAACCAAGAGATATTTTATTTTATTGGAAAAATGAGAAAAAATGTCTTGCAAATTTGCGATCTATTATCCACTATTATCATTACTAAATTACAGCTACGATATATTTTGTTTTAACGTATAAATTTTTCTTACGCATTTATTAAAAAATGTATCGCGCGCGTGATTGTGGAGAATTATTACCTACCCATCGCCTATTCCTAAAACAAATTACTCGAGATACTGTTGATACAATACATATTTATATATCTTATATCATGACATCTGATATCTATTGAGTATCGAATACCATTCAAATCCAAATCGCGTCCCAGCTCTAATTCATCTGTATACCTTGCCCCTTCAATCTTGTTGCGTCTGAATATTATTTCAAAACTACAATCTCAACTTCTAATTCTTATACATACATGTATACACGTACGAGCACATACTTAACATACATAAACGAACGTTATCGGCATCAAACGTAAATGCGAAGGAAAACATGTTTGCAATTGACTCGTCTTAGATTTCTTTATCATCGTACAATCGTCGTGCCAAATGGCCATGTCGCACAATGTTCGTTATATCACATAGAGGCAGCTTTATTAATAAAATATAATATTATTTTGCACAGTCGTTGCTAGTTAATACATTCGTGGACAAAACGACGTCGATCGCTAAAAAATCAGAATCCTATTTTATTATTAAAAATTATAAAATGGAGAACAATTTTGTTTAGACTATCAACAAATTGACAGTAACATATTAACAAATTATTAATTTATTCAAACATTTATTTATTTATAGATTTTAATTATTGATCAACAAAATTTTTTATTTTGTTGAACTATTTTTGATATAAAATTGTTTCTTTTAGATTAATTTAAAGAATCGACGATTCTAATTCGGTATATAGAGCAAAATAATCGTATTGTCCGTGAACGTATCGAATGTGTTAAGCTTTCGTAAGAAACATGGTCTTCCCATCGATGCTTGATGTTTTTACGAACTTTCATAAAAACGACTTTAGCCGAAATACATACGTACGCACGTAAGCGGATGCGTAGCAAGGATAAAATTTTTATGAAAATATGTATATTGATACCTAATTTATCTCGCAAGGGTATAGGTTCCGACTCTTTACAGTTATGATAAATTGAAAGACAAGACGCTTACCTACCTATATATTAATAATTGTCAATAATTATTTATCGAGCGTTTTTCTTTTTAATTTGTATAAAAGAGACGAGACAAAATACCGATCTAGAGAAATTAGCGTTTAGATAGATTTCGTACTTCGTATTTAATGACATTATTGAATCATTATATATCGAGTATTGTATGTACTGAAGCTGAAGATGACAATGAAAATAAACTATTGTATCCAAAAAATTAAATATACTATTGAATGTTATGGACTCACCGAGATGCCGGTCCCACGTATTTCTCCGTTGCACATTCCACCGAAGTTAAAAATCCCATCCTTCGATCCATTTTGATTCAATCCAACTTTTTACACTTATAAAGATGGAAAGCATGCGTCTAGTATCTTCTTTTCAACATCACAAATTAATAACGAAGAATTACTTTTTAATAAATATTTCCTCCGATATTCGCCCCATATAAATTCAGCACTTCCGATATTCGTTTACTCATGTTTATTTTTCTGAAACAAAACAAATTTTTGTATTGTTAAAAATGAATTCATAAAAAATTTAATTGATTACAAGCAGTAAATCATAGCTAATAAAAAAAACATCAGAATTACTGTTAATTGCTACATATTTACTCTATTCTTAATTACCATAAATGTATACAAATTGCTATACTGAAAAAAATAATAAAATTTTAAAGAAATATATATATTTATTTGATACAAAAACAATTAATTTGACTTAACTATCATTCTTTTATTAAGTAAATATTTATTTACTGTAAGTAATATAAATGTTTACCTAGTACTATTCAAAGAAAGATTTATCAAGACATAGTAATTTTTTTTTGTATATATTTATTTCATTTAAATCACATAATTTCGTAAATATTACGATTGCAATATTAAATATAGCAATTTAACAATTTTCTAATCGCGAGAATGTAAGTAATGCTTGTGATTACAATAAAAAATGATTATAATCTAGTGAGAGCTAGTTAATAATTATCGCTATTTTAAATAAATCCCGATATTTAAAAGATAAATAAAATCGATACTTTTTTACTGTTGTAACTTGGAATTTTTATTTATGGACATGTTACTTCTTTTTCTTTTATTATTGACAAGGATTAATTATGCTTACGACATCAACATTGACTGAATATTGCGTTGAATTGAGAATATTTTGACTTAATGAAGAATGTATAAAATATATTTTAATTTATAATACTTCATACTTTATGTAACATTGAAAATAACCCGATCGAAGTCGAAACGTTTGTTTTTGATATGTTTATATGATTGTTTAAATTAAATTATTCGTTAATTTATTTGGCTCGTTGCCCTCTTTATATTTATTATACTATTTTATAAATTTTACTATAACAATTCGACAAATTAACATAACATGTTTCAGCTGTATGATACAGCCCTCTTCGGATATAAAAAAAAATTATAAAATTATGCAAATATTAAAAATAAATATTCGCTGATTTATATGTAATGCCGATGAATATTCAAACAGAGACACGGAAATTGCTCGTCATGTGATTGGTTGACCGAAAATTTCTCGTTATTCTCCAAGTCCAAAAATTGAAAAAATCAAGTCAATAATGAAATGTTCGTCAACAGTTAAATTTAAATATTGACAGAATTTAGTCATTTTTTGATCATGATAAAAATCTCGTTCTCAAATAACTTAAAAATGACTTTATATTGAATAATGTAGATATTATGGTTCAATAAATAAAAATTAACGGAGCCAAAAACATATATATATCTAACCACATAACAGAGAATGTAATAATAGTAACTACATATAAACATTATAAAAGGATAATTATTATTAAAGAATTTGAAAAACAAAATGACGTTTCGACCTCGCTTAGGTCATCTTCAAAGTTCAAAAATATAAAAATTATTTTAAAAATACGCAAATCTTGTAAAGTGATAACGTTATTTGTATCAATTCTGGTTGCATCATGAAAGTGGTGCTGCTGGTTATTAACATTGCAAGTTTCTCTATCCAATACAACAGGAAAACTTTATATTGACTTATTTTTTAATGTCATCCTTTTTATTTTATCATCCGAGACCGAGATTTTTATCATGATCAAAAATGACTCAATTCGGTCAATGTAACGTTATAAATTGACATTATTTTGATTGTTTCATTCTCCTTGGAACGATTCACTTTCGAAAGGAACAAAGATACCACGCACTACGCTTTCGTCCGAAATTGTCGTTAATTCGAGTAAGAATTAAGTTTCGCGCATATCTGTAGTGTCAAAATTTAAATTTACTCCGATTTACACCGGCACCAGTCACTGGCACTTGCTCAACAAGACCGTTCTGCAGTTTTAAAATCGGTAATCCGCTGCTGTCCATTACGAGGTAACGAGAGTCGTACAATTCGGTTATTTCGGCAATAATATAATAACTCGTATATGCACTCACAATGAGAAAAAGGCGCGCGAGAAGTCTGAAACAAACGCCCGCCAACATGATCAGTCTCGAAATTTGTCTCAGAGCAGTCGAAGCACACACGTTTTACCTTCTGCCTGTGTGCGCGTCCCTCTTTACTCAGGTTGGCATCACTGCCGGATAAACACGTCATAAAAGCTATATCCACATAGCTGCATAAACGCATGCATAAAGAAAATTATCCAATCGCATTTCCTTTATAGAGATGCACGTAAAATGTGATTGGATAATTTTCATTATGCATACGTTTATGCGGTTATGCAAGTTTGTGTGGATTATAACTTAAATTGGTAAATTTCTTACGGCTTTAAGGGGGGATGCTGGACCCACGAAATTGTGGATACTTACAGTCTTAAGAAAATCTCCGAAACGACTGAACGGAATGAGAAATCCCTCTACAGGATTAATATAGACACAAAATTAGTTATGTGATACGCTAAAATCGAAAAAAAAGTTAAAAACTTACATTTTTTTCAACTCGTAGATGTGTCACCTGACGAACATATTTCCTTGATAAACAAGTTTTACTGCTTGTATGGACTAAATGAGGTCTCATCACCCGGCGTATTACGTGAATAAACAACACTGAATTTACAGAATAGATATTTTCATTGAACTGCAAAAATGGTAAATTGCCGATAACGAAACTGTAAATTTGTAATTTTTTTCCGTTTTTCGTATTGAAATGTAGCTAGCATCCTCCGTTTTTGTCGATACTTTAGTTATGCAGAAGGATTTTTCCATCCGTAAATGCAATTACGAGTCTTTAACTAACAAAATAAGTAATGATAAAACAGGACTCCAGCATCACCTTAAGGCTTAAAACATCTATTGTAGATCTGGACTAAGGTGCGCATAAACTAGAGTCTGAGTACGGTGAGAAGTGAGCGATCAGTGAAAGCGTTTGCAGCCTACTTCGCAGCTAGCAGCAGCAGCTGAGTAGTAGTTGACAGTAAGGTATCATGGCGATCGGTTAGTGCGTATTGTTCGGAAAGTTTAGAAAATTTACTGTGATCTCGTACACGATTTCAATCGTGAATTAATTGCATCGAATTTCTCCTCGGATGATTGCACATCGATTTTTGCTTGTATAATAACGTCCTAACGCGAATGATAAAATGGTGAAACTGACCGAAGAGATGGTCGTGGCTCGCACGCGAATGTCTGATTTTTCCGCCATAAAGAAACTCAATTGCTGGTGAGTATTTATATCGACAGATTGCTTGAACGACATAACCGTATATAACGTCACATAATTTAATTACGGTGCCTCGATTATTTCGGAGCAATTAAATACGCTTTGATTTGGTCACACGCGAACAAAATCATGCGCGCGACAAGGTTATCAAATTTTTCCACCATATCATGGGAAAAAAGAGAATTATGATCACCCGAGCGTAACTAATTGCTATTCGCAACTCTGGCATGTGAAAGAATACGTGGAAATATACATAGACGAATTCTCTATCTACGCCTAGTTACAATCTTGTCTATATTCAAATGCATATGTACAGAATAATATAAAAGTACATAAATCAGTTTTAGGAATATTTTTATAAACAAAATGTGCAAGTAGAATATTATGGGGTTTTAAATAATTGACTCTCACTGAACAAATATGACTTATTTAAAAAAACTGTAATCTATACATTTTTTATCTTGTGTCAATAACCTTGCTTTTATTTAATTTGTTGCAATAAAAAAATATATGTAATTCTGAAAATGAACATTTCTAACATTTATTTTTTTTATCTTTAAATAAAGATGCTTTTGTGAAGTTTGGTCGTCTATTTTGGAATGACTGTGTAAAAAGTAAATTATTATGCAATATTTTTCTCTCTTTAGATTGAATTAAATTAATATATTTTTTATATAGGGGAACAGAATTAACAGATGTCAGTATCTTAAGAAAATTGAAAAATGTGGAAGTGTTATCATTGAGGTGAGTTAAGAATTGATGAAATAGTAAAATGATAATTAAATTTTAGCAGCATCTGACTAATGATCTCTATTCTTTCTTTTTTTCAAATACACAACATTTTAAAACTAAAGATGTCAAAATATATATATAAGAACCATTCAACAATTTATATATTCTAGTAAAAGTAATGAAATTTATTAATTTGGAATATAAATAATCTATTGTGTGTAATAAAAAATCGAAAAAGCATTGTGTGTTAAAATGAATTAAATGCTTAATAATAAATGGTTTATTACACAGAAATGTAACCTCCATTCTATTGATGATCATGATCTAAGATATTTTTCATCTTACGAAAACATAGAGACTGCAATGTATTCCTACTTTGGACATGATTATATTAAACTCATGGTCACAACCCACAACTTCACGAGTTGTTCTGCCCACACACGATTTGAATTCATTGTGATTTTCATATGAAAAATATTGAAAAATGAGCAAATATAAAGATCAATATCTAAAATCTACTTTAAAAAAAGAATTAAGATTTTTTTATTTGTTTATATATTAATTACAGGGTATAGTATAAGATAAACCCTTTTGTAAAATATGGAAAAGATAATATATATACATCATTTTCTTCCCTTTATATAGAGAATAACTTTAAAAATATATATATTAAATATATGTGTGAAAAAAATATGTATGTGTCCTGTGCAACTTTTTATTTCGATAATTGCAGTGTTACAATGTTTTCATTAATTTTATAAAAAGTCTGTTTTACTTATACATTTACTGTTTGCAACAATTATAATTATAAGGTGTAATTTTTAGGCATGTAATTTTTATTTTAAAATCATTAAAAATCACTAATAATTGTTTCTTATATAATGTTAACAAAAACAAAAGTAAATACTATAACATAGATTTCTTTTATATCAATCAAACTTGATTAATATTTATATATGATTCGTATTAATTTATTTTATGTTTTATATATATATATATATAACACAAACATACAATTCACACGTATGAAATAAAATTGATGAGTTAACAAAATTGTTTTGTACAAACTATTATATGCAAATTGTCGTTAAATATTAAAATTTTTTTGTTATTTAAAATAGAATATGTATTAATTTAAAACTGTTTAATTTAAAGGTTAAATTTTCTTCTCTTTTTTTCCCTAGTTGAAATAAAAATGTATAATAATTGCATTTATATTTATTTTTAGCGTAAATAACATTAATACACTTGCTGATTTTCAATATTGCCACAAGCTTCAAGATTTATTTATAAGACGAAATAACATCAAAGATTTAAATGAAATTTGCTATCTTCAAAGATTACCTCATTTACGAAATTTGTGGTTTGATGAAAATCCATGTGTAAAAACGAAAGGGTAAATATTTAATAATAGATACAGTTAAAAATAAAAACTATGGGAATTTTATGACGCATCATTATAATCCTATTTTAATAGATATCGGTTATCTGTACTTCGAGCTTTGCCAAATCTTGAGAGATTAGATGATAAAATAGTATTACCTGAAGAACTGCATACTGCAAAGACAATAGGTCGACCTTTAATACATCCTCTTGGTGCTTCTCCACAATCTGATGTATTAAGTCCAGAGGTAAAAACATTTCAAACAACATAACAAAAATATTATGATTATGATAACAAAATGATAAAATACTCAAATATTTCTTATATGCAATTAATATTCATATTATTTCATCAATAATCATTTTTTATACTTTGCTTTTTGTATTAAGATTAATAGCTTACATTTAATTGTTATTAAAATTCATATACAAATATTGATAACAGATGTATTAATTTGAAAAATTATGTGCATTTTTTTTTAAGTGCATTTTTAACAATCATTAAAATGCTAAATAACATTTATAACTAAATTAGGATATTACAAATGAATACATTGAAGATAATGAATTGGAACAATCTTCTAATGGTCCAGTTCCAATGATACCAAGAATGTACAGTTCTTCTAGTGAATGCCAATATCAGGTAATAACAAATTAATACATTCTAATTGATTTTCTTCACTAATCACTAAAATCATTTTATATATACATACCTCTATTCTTTAATAATTAATATTGTGAGTTACCAAATGATTTTAGTGATTGGTATTCTATGTTATATATATGTAATATATATGTATATGTATGTATACATGTAAAATTATTTTTTAGAAAATCTTTGATGAACCGCTACCTACGCATAAAGAATACGATCCTGATAGAAGAAACGCAAATTATAATGCGTCATCGTCACATCATTACTCACAAAATAATCAATATGCATATGAGGTCAGTCATGCATCTCATAAAATAGAAGCAAAACTGTTTAACAATTTAAAAGCAAATAACTATTAATAACTAACTACATATAATTGTGCTGAAAAATCATTTTAATTATTTAATTATATTTTAAACGCAATATTTTTATATTAGAGTAAAAATATGTAATTAATCCATTATTTTGATAAATTATTGATCATATTAACCACAATTAAACTAAAAGAATTAGATTTTAAGCGTAATTATAACTTAAAGTCTATTTTATCGCTTGGTTATACTAACAGCTACAAAATGATGGACAATCAAAAAGTCAGAGCAAAGATGACACTTTGTGTGCAGAGTCACGAAACAACAGTGAGACTGTGACTACTAACACTCTTGAAAAATCCAAGGTACATCGAAGTACAGCCCATTTTTTAATATATTTGCAAATTTTGTCATTACATTATCCATAATATAAACGAATATATTTCATAATATTGTATATCAGCAATAGTACCATATTAACGTTTGTTTAGCAATCATTATCAGATAAATACTCGAATTTTAAATATTTTCTGGCTACATGTTATTTTGTATGACTCAGCTTAGGAGATGTTTGGTGATAGTTAATTTTCCTTTTTTTTTTCTTAATTGTCTTAACAACTAACATATTTTTTAATACATATATTTTCATATTGTTCTTCCAAAATAAAATTGAAATACAAAATTTAATACTAATTTATGAAATAAAATCTAAGATTTACACATCTTTTCTGATTATACTTATGTTTGAAAAGGATACAATTAATACGAGATTGGAAATCACAGAACAGAGTTTGTAACTTATAGAATAATAATTTGTTGTAATTGTGATAAAATATAAAAATATGTATAAATAATTTTATTAAATAGGACAAATATAAAAATCTATTAAATATGCAAAAATTTGAACTCAAATATTATCTATAATATCTGATTATACCACATTATATTACATACAATATATTTATTACATATATTTAGAATAAATAAAAAAAGTTTATTTTTTATTTATTAAAGTTTATTTCAATAATGTAAGATAAAAATTTTACAACTAAAATGTAAAACGATTTTCTTTTAAATATAGTGTACATCGTTAGCAATTATTTTACAGAAAATAATGTTTTAGGATTATGATGAACGTCCAGTAGTACATCGACATAACGAAGATTACGATGAGAGACAAGCAGACTCTGAATATAGCGGAAATGAAGTATCTCAATGTATGTATACACCAACGCCAATGCAACGTACGCAATACTTTGTCAATAAATTTGCAGATGACAAACGTAATGACAAAAATAACTATAATTACGATAAAAAATCAAGGTTAGAAGATGAAGATTTGCCTCAAACTCCTCCAACACCTCAAACAAGAAGGATGATGATAGCTCATCATAATGAAAAGGTTAATTATATATATATATTATTTTATATATATACATATATATATAATTTACAAAATTAAAAAAATATGTATATAATAATTATATATAATAAAATATGTGTATATAATATTTAATATTAAAATTTATATGTTTTAATACTATTTACAGGAAGATACAAATCAAATACCAGGTTGGATAAGACATCCTGAAAAAGATAAATGCAGACATCAATTTCACTATCACAGGCGGCCAGTAACAAGAGTATGTTTTATGGCATTGTTTTAAAGTATGCGTGATAAAATTTGAAGTATTTTCTATAACATGTATTTTCCTTTTAGAATTCAAATATATTGTCTGCTGTATTATGCTTGGTTAAAGAGTTGGATTATCCAAGTCTGGAAGTGGTAGAAATGGCTGTTAGAAATCGAATGGATGAATTAGAAGAATGATGTTTCTGACACCGTCCCCAAAATCCACAGGGGACGGTCGCTTGCTCCCATATTGGCAACATGTCTTCTGTTCCCAGCCCAGAATTCTCCGATTCACTTGATTCCACAATAACTTTGAGCCAATATGTCGATAATGATGGGAATTACAACAATGATGAACATCATATACTTGACCATCAGTTACTTGAAGAAAATAATGATAAATGTCAAATTCGACGAAATGAATGTGCCGAAAAAGTTTGCTCAACACACAGCCTGAAAGTAGTATCGATTGATCCAACTCTAAGATTACTCGGAAATAATCAATCCATGTATAAAATCAAAAATTCCGTATTGGACAATTCACCGTCGAGAAATTGCTATGAGGGAAAAAGTAATGATGTAAGACGCGTAGCGAGTAGTGACAGTATTCCTCGTGGTAATTATAACAATGTCATTTTGAGTCAGGGATGTAGAGTTTTAAGTCAAGATTGTGTTAGAAGATCAAAAAGTCCTGATGTTAGAAATACAGTTACACCACTTCGTTATATTCAATCAGCAAAAGGAACATGGACGTATAATTTGTAAATACACTGAAAATTTAACAATAATCTAAATTTTCTGTAAATGCAATCAGAAATAATCTTGTCGATAAAAAAGAAAAAGAAATGAAAAAGTTAATAACACAGTAATACAAGACTTTAAGATCAAAGATTGTTCTCATCATTTCGGAGGAAAAGTTTAAGTGTATGTAAAATCTTTCAAACGTTTGTGATATATATTTCTGCAAGGACTGAAGAAACATTGTAATTTATCATTATATATTATGTGTACATTTAATAACATGTTGCAATCGTCATTTCTGTCAATACGAAATATTAGACAAATGAAATTTTTATTCCAACAAACAAATCTGACGATTGATGTATGAATAATTTATTTAACAACCGTTAAGTTTTTTCAACAGTTTTATTGAGATAAATTTGTTAAATATATGTTATATAAATATCTGTAATAAGATAAAATCATGTATAAGATAAAATCAAAGATTAATTATTATATATAATAAAGCTCTATTAAATATTTTCTCAGTAGAAAAATATTTGGAGTTTTTATGTAGTGAAAAAAGTTATTTGGATCAAAATGACAAGCTTGTTTAAAGATCGATATTTAAAAAAAAAAACAATTTTTACGATAAAATAAAATATGAATAAAAATGAATGTATATGTAGGTAGGAGGTGATTTTCTACACAGAAAGTATAAATCTATAAAAACTTAAATGTACATCGTTTGAATATAATCTCATGATTTATAATTAAAACATCTGCATATATTAGATTTTTGTCATCAAAAGCTTATAAATGTACATACAAAAGCGAAAAATTATATTCCTAAATATCATTTTCTTGTATTATTTTTTACTTTATATTATCTGATTGCGGAGATGTACATTAATTTTTTTAATAATATTACGAAGAAGAAATAGTTTTATTATACATGTACATAAGTATATATATGTATATATGTATGTATGTATACATGTATGTACATATATACATATAAGATCACACATAAAATTGTACTTAATAGAATAATAAGCAAAATAATTATAAGAATGTATATTATACATAAATTAACTTTACTGACAAATAAGTATATAAGGACATATTTTTTAAAAGAAGTGCTTATCATCTGCTGATAGATACAAGCAGAAAGAGAGAAAATAAGAAATTATATTTCTTCTGCAAACAGTACCAATTCTATTAATTCTATCGATTAAGCCAATAACTGATGCTAATTAGACTTAAAACATTTTATAATAACGTAAAACATAATGGTTTTTGTTATCTAGAACCGTCCACTTATTTTATTATTTATGAACAATATTGATTTAATGTGTACAAATAATTATAGATACATATGTGTGTATTTATATATATATATATATATATATAAATTTGTATACATTAAATATATATATATATATTTGATGTTATTTAAAAATTTATGTAAAGAAAAATTTTAATTCTCGAATTATAACAATATTGAAACATTGTGTTATTGTATGTACAAATTGACTTTGAAATTAATACCTCTGTTAATATTCTCCATACATATTAATTAAACATTTTATTGTTTAAAAAGTTAAACATTATATTAACACTATTCATATGTAATCATTTGGTGTTGACTTAATTTCCTCTATCCCTTTTTTTTATAGAAAACACTTATATTGAATTATTTATATTTCATTAAAATAATTAATAATTTGTAAATAGATTTGTAATTTTTCATAAGAATGAGATTGTCTATATAAAAATATTAATATATATACTCTACGAATATTTCCTGACGATTATCCGTTTTTTGTAAATTTCATCATCTTATCATCTCTTATTATTACAAGTAAACAGAGAGATCATTAATTTCGATGAATCCTTGGGTACTACTGGATGCTACGTGGTGCTATGTCACACAAATCGCATAAGACGCTCAGTGAATGCATTGTTTTCTGTATTTCCTGTGTTTAATAATAAAAAATGGTGAAAAATTGTTGTGTTCAAGGATGCAATGCATCGTGGCGGCCAGATGTTGATTTATCGTTTTTCAGGTAGATTATCATTACATAAACTTATATAACCTCAAATATATATACGTATAATTTTCAAACATAACCTTTAATTTTCTTGTTTCGTATATTTTTTTAGTTTCCCTTTGAAAAATGAGGATTTGTTAAAGGAATGGTTACAAATTGTGCCAATAAATAATCAAATTTCAAAACATTCTCGAATATGCAGCATTCATTTTGAAGAATCTCAATACGAATGTATTTCTGGTAAACGGTTCTTACGAAAGAATGCAGTTCCTACTATATTTCCACAGGATATAGCTCAATTTGTAAATATTGTAATTAAAGTAACTTTTTTATTTTACAAGCACATAGCAAAGTTTTATGTAAGTTTTTTGTTGCTTTATAGAAAAAAATGATTGCAAAAGTGGAAAAATTATATCCAAAATATCAAAATGTTGTATTGGAAAGTGTAAATAGCAATAATAATTCTCACGATCATTGTTATTCGAAATTGCATGAAACATTTCTTATATCGTCAGTATTAAATGAAACAGACAAAGCAATACAAACCACTCCTCAAACAAAGGTTTGTAAATTTTCATTATAAACGAAATTTATTATTTGTTAAGGTTTTATATTTATTTGTTTATTGTACATTTTTTACATATTACCAGAGTGTAGGTACGCAAACATCATCAAGAGCGACTGAAAAAGAAAAAGAATTGCGATATCGAATTAAAAGCCTACAATCCAAATTGCGTCGCAAGGAACTGAAGGAACTGAAAAATATGAGGATACCAATTAAGTATTCGCCGATTGTTAATAAAAAATAATTGTGAATGATTATTCATCATCACATATATCAATTGGAATATTTAAGTATACTAAAAGACAGTTTTGACAATTATTTGATTTTTATTTGCAAATATAATTTCCTAGAATAAAAACGTTATATAATTTGTTTAACGTTTTATACTATTAATATTTAAAAAAATGTACAGATATTAGTCAAGCATAAGCTTTTTTTCTTTTCATTAATTTTTATACAACTGTTAGCATTATACATAATTTTATGACCAAGTCTAATGTTAATTAATAATGCTTTGACTGTCAATTTGATTTTGATATTGAAATTGTTTTTAATGACTCAATATAATTTATATTATATTTTCTATGTCTCAAATGTTTAATAAAATTTGTTTCGATCAGTTAAGTAAAACTGTCGCTTGTAAATAAAGTAACAATATATCTGTAAAAATTTATATGTTAACCAAATATAAATGATACAGTGTAATATTAAAAAGAAATATATAATTTGAAAAAAAAAATTGTTTCCGTATACTTTTTATCCTATAACTGTAGATGTTAATATAGTAATAATAAAAGATAAACAATATAAAGTATATACAATTATTGACTTTTAATTTATTGTAATTACAGAGAGGGAGAGAGATATCTGTTTTCTTTCAGAAAATATAAATATTCTTATTTATTGCAATAAGAAAAAAAGAGAAAGTTATCACTTGAGGTTATTCTGTCAAATCACGAGTAATCTGTAATTATATGTTTTGCATTGTCGATACGAATTCACTCGACATTGCTTGTGAAAATGAACGTAAAAATACGAATAACCAGAATAATTGATACGTTGTCACTTTATAAGAGAATGTTTTGCTTGAACGATTAACGTCTCGACTTATGCTTAATTTAATATTATATAACGATTGTTTGTACTTTATTGATTCATTTTCTAACCTCAACAAGTGTAATGCTCGTTTTACGTGGACTCCAGAATTCAAATTCCCTCGTCGTGTTGGGTGGCCTCGCTTTGTGTCTTTTATTTATGATTCAAATCAAACAAATCTATAATAACAATCAAAAATATAATAGATATTTAAACTATAAACAATATGTGAGATTTCCTCGTATTTACATAAATATTAACGTACATGGATATGTATTTGTTTATTCTGTAATGCATTTGAAAATAAAAGACACATTTAATTATTCATTTTTAGATGAACGAAATAGCGACAGAACTGAGGACAGTGGTAAAATCCATCAACAAATCATCGGCTTATGTCCATCAATTAAATGAAATGCTTACAAAGTATCGTGAAAGAGAATCAAAGAACACCTCAATGTCAAGAGCTACTTTATCATCTTAAATACCTTAGAAAGTTAAATTTCTAAATACAAAAGGTTAGTAAATTGTAATTAAACCGTAAAAAGCTGGTTTTACATTATAATATTTAATTTTTCAACATTTCTTTTTATTATAATTTATAAATGAGTATTGAACATTGTTATTTGTATATACTGTACTGAATACTCAAACAGTACTTATTATTCATCAAATATAAAATATTTATCATTTAAAAAACACACTTTATTATTATAGCTTATATTTAATACTTATTATTACTATTGACATGCACGTTAGAATATAAAATTATAAAAATGAAAACAGGTGATATACATATATATATATATATATATATCAGGAAGTTTCAAATATTTAAATTGTTCAGGGGCATACATTGAGAGTTACTATTTTGTCCAATATTCTCTAGAACACCATCGGGTGCGCACAACCATGGATCCTTTGTTGTCTCTAACCAATTGAACAATCGTTTTTGAAGCTCAACAAATATGTCCTGAAATTTAGAATATACATAAAACATTGAAATGTATTTATTATATTTAGTCAAGAAATGTATTTAATATATAAAAAAAATATAAGTTTATGGTACCTTTCCAGACGCTTTTGAAACTATATTATTCAATTCCTCTGGATCATATTTTAAATCATATAATTCCCATTCTGATCTTTGATAATATTTCTTTAATGTTTTGTACCATGGTAGAGATTGATGATTTATTGTCCTATTTAAAATGTCCTGCATTTATAATATAATGATAAATTACTTTTGAATATTAATAATTTATTCTAAAACAATTTCAACTAATTTAAAAAAAAAAAGATAATATCTTTTAGATATTCTTTTTTTCAGATTACCTGGAACGTCGGAGATATGTAAAAGTCCTGATCAATAGGAAATGGCATCTTATAATTGATATTGTGTATAAGTTTGTGACGTTTAGTTCTAATTGCACGCATAGGATAATACATGGTAACTTCATGATGTGTTTGACTAGCAAAGATTGCTGTATTATTTTCTATAGGTTCTATAAACGAAATATCGTTTATTTTACAGTATGATCTCTCTGATGGAGAACAACATATATGTATTGCATTCAATAGACGTATTTATTGTATATACCTTCGAGAAGTAATGGTAAAAGTGATTTTCCAGTAAGTTGCACAGAAGATACTTCATTGGAATCTTCATTCAAGTAAGTTACATTGAACCAATCTAAAATTGTCGGTACTATATCTAATAAAGATGTCATACTGTAAGTTACGCTATTTTTCCTATGGCCATGAATTGGTGATGACATCATCATGGGTTCAGCCATACCTTCAAATTTTTTTGAAAATATTTAATCGTGTTTTTAAAATACTAACGTTCTTAAATGTCTGCTAATTTTCGATACCTTAAATGTAATTATACGAACCTGGATCGTATAGATTTGTACGACCGTTCGGGAAAGGTATGCCATTATCAGATGTATAAATTACCAATGTATTATCTTTGAATCCTGCATTTTCCAATTCTTTAAGAACAAGGCCAACACCTAAAAAATTATATTTTTTTAAATACTATTATATACATATAATATAATATATAAAAATATAACAGTTTGTCTGTTGTAACATATTAGAAACGTATATTTGAGCATTTCTCAAGTAACTAGAAAGACCTTGATCCAAACGAGATATTGTTATATATTGAGCAGCGATATCTCTTCGAGCAGCTTCGGTATTTTGTACATAGTAGGGCACTTTAACTTGTTCCCATTGATAATATATTGGATTCCAATCGGGAATTGTACCCATTCCGACATCACCATTACCAAATTTTTCACAAAAATTGCCATATTCTGGATGAGTATGTCCACAGCGATGAGGATCATGAAAGGCGATATATAGAAAAAAGGGTCTGCAAAATTTTAACATAATTAAGAAAATGCAGAATAATATATGATGAAAATTTGTAATATAATTTTTGCATGAATTTTATTACACTTTTATAAAAATTAGCGTTCCTATAAAAATAATAAAAATGAAATTATATTATACAAGCACTGTATATAAAATATTACTTACTGTGTTTTATTTTGTGAGAGAAATTCACGGACTAGTAATTTTATATAAGTAATATTGCGACCTACTTGAAGAATAGAATTATTTTCTTCTGTATGTGCAAAATCAAATGGATAAACGTTACTCGGACCTACATGTTTCTTGCCAATAATTCCTACACAAAAATATATTCAAATTATGATAACATAATTTATAATACAATATTAGAAATCTATTAATTGTTACCTGTCCGTATATTGTTTCTCTTTAATATTTTTGGCAAACTTTGAATATTATCAAAAGAATTAAAATGATGAATCCCATGATGAAGACCATACATTCCATTTTGATGACTTGGTAATCCAGTTAATATTGTGGAACGGCTACAAATACATAATTCAGATTTATATCTTTATTAATTAAATTCAATTTGGATATAATAAAAATACCTTGGTGAACAACTACTGACTGATGTATATGCATTATTGAATAATAGACTTTCTTTTGCTAATTTATCCAAATTAGGAGTCTGACATATTTTATTCAGGTATGATCGCATTTCAAATCCAGCATCATCGGCTACAGATTAATAAATAAGCTATTATATTTCACATAATATAAATTTTAGATTATGGATTAAAATGAACTTAACAAAAATGAACTGTAAAATTGTAAATGTACCTATTTTTTTCTAACCGAAGAAGTTTATATATTCAAAGATACTAAAAAGTTTATATATTTTTTGTTCATTATATATATATAATCTCTTATATTTAAAAATATATAATTTTAATTCTAATAAATTTATATATTTTTAAAAAAGATATTTGAATTTATTTAAAATTAATTTATTTCAGTTGTTTGATAAAAAATACTCGCGGATTACATTTACAAAATATATGTATTAAAAAATACTTTATGTAAATTACCCAGCAATAGAAGTACATTTGTTTTAGCTGTATCAGTTTTTCCATTTATGTTAGGTAATCGCGATAAGATAATGCCCAAAAAACATAACAATTTATTCAAACAGCAGCTCCACGACATCGCACTTACGTGATACAGATGCACTTATGTGTTTAGTGTGTGTGTGTGTGTGTGCGTGCACACGTGACGTACATACACGCAAGTATTGCCAATAGTGCCAATACGAACGATCAAAAATTTTCTATTCTTTCGCGATAAGTATGTGATAAGGGATCGATTATCTGTCCACGTAGTGTCTTGCCGAGCAGCATATATATATATATATATAATATTTATGTAATCAGGGTGCATATATACAATATATATATATGTAATGTATGTACATACAGTCAAAGATACAATTATTCCGTTTCAAGTATCAACAATACAAAAGTGCGATTGAAGAAACGCGCGCTTGAAAATTATTGAAAATACCCTCTGCTCCGGTCTAGTATATTTTTTATCATTTAATTGGTAGTATTGGTACAAACTGTTTCCAATATCTGGCAACACTGTAATGACAATACCAACGCCGACACGTCAAACCGGCCACGTATATATGCTTCGTTATATATATTTTTTTAAATTATATTTTTGTTGTATTTTTTGTTTCGAACATATAACTTCTTGTCATCGAGCAAAATGCCGTTGATCTTATCACATATGTCAAGCATTTCAGCATTATTTCGGGAGGCTTCGAGTCTCTCCAAAACGATTCCGTTTACATGGATAAAGTGTCTTTGCTTTTAGGATAGGTTACATTTACGCTCATTTTTCTTGTAAATTTTTCTCATATCCTTTATATTTAATTAATTGAATTATTGTGAACATGTACTTCGTTGCAAATATATATAATATTAAGATCGACTGAATTATGGTTGAAAATGATTTGTAGTCTATTACTCTCTAATTTATGTTTTACTAAGTAAAATGGGGAAAATGAATCAATTATTAACCTGTCTTTAATTCGGCATGTGATTTAAAATATCCTATTCTTCGATACTCTTCATATCGAAACAGATTATTTGTGATAAAAGAATGTTAATCTATAATTATCTAACATAATAATTAAAGCATTCTTGTTTTGGTCTTGTTTAATGTAAAATGTGTTTATTTATTTTAATCAGTTTATAATATATTAATTATGAATATTCCTATATACATAAAATAATAATGTATTTTAGAGAACTTAAACGAATGCTTAAAAGAGATAAGGATTACATCATGTCGAAGAAGATTATTTGCTTGTTTGATGTGGATGGCACACTCACTAAACCACGGCAGGTATATTTTACAAAAAACCTATTTTTGTGTGTGTAACAATATTATATTTCTTTTTAGATATTACTATGCTATCATTATATTTATCCTCAGTCTTTATCTACTGTTGATTAAAAAATTTTTTTTTGTGTTCTATAGCCAATTAGTCCTACCATTGAAAAGTTTCTTCTAGAAACTGTAAAGAAAGAGTTTGACATTGCAGTGATAGGAGGTTCTGATTTAAACAAGATTCAAGAACAACTAGGTGGTGGAAACCTCTTTGAAAAATATGAATATGTCTTCGCCGAAAATGGTGTTATCGCCTTCAAGAATGGCAAAGCTTTGCCTTCACAAGTAAATAATAAAGCTCAGTAGTGTTAAAAGCAACAATCAATTAAATGTCATTTCTTTTAACACACATACAACAAATTTTAGTCAATTCAAGATATGCTCGGGGAGGATTCTCTGCAAGATTTTATAAATTTTGTCTTGCGATATATATCCGAGCTGAAACTGCCATTCAAGCGTGGAACATTTATCGAATTCCGTACAGGTATGATAAACGTTACACCAGTAGGACGTAATTGCAGCAAAAAAGAACGTGAACAATTTTATGAATATGACAATGAACATCATATCCGAGAAAAATTTATACAAGTTCTGAAAAAGGAATTTCCTGATTTGGGTTTGACTTATAGTATCGGTAAGTGACATATTATATGAAAATAATTGTATACAATTAATGAAAATCGATATATGTATAGTGTGTAGTATATACAATTTTTAAATAATAAATTAATATTTATTAAATTATATCTCAAAATATTAATTGTTTATATTTTATTACTATAAATATTTTGTATACTTCTGACAAATCATATAAATTAATGTATTATAGCAAATTTTATAGCAAGTAAATTTCTTTATTTTTTCCAAGGGGGACAGATATCTTTTGATGTTTATCCTATTGGTTGGGATAAAACATATTGCTTGCGTCATATTCAGGGATATGACGAAATACACTTCTTTGGTGACAAAACAGCCGAAGGTGGGAACGATTATGAGATTTATGAGAGCGATTTGACAATAGGACACCGTGTCACTTGTCCCAAAGACACCATGAACCAATTAAATGTCCTTTTGACTCTCATAAAAGAGAACAGGGAGAAAGAACAGCTCAATGTTCCGTTGCAATGCATATAATATTTAAGGCCTGATAACATAGTAATTTTCTAGATTGATATATATTTATATCAGTCTAATTGATATAATGTTATTGTACAATAGATTCATTTTATAATATATTTCATTCTTTATTTTTCATTAATTGTTACATTCTTGATGATGGAAGGTAATTTGTAAAACTTATAGTTTCCAAGTAAAATTTCTTCAGTACCAATTCTAAGCACAACTGTTCTCATGCACACTTAAAAATTTGTACATATGCTCTTTTCTGATAGTTTTACGACCTTGATATACACACAAGTCATAAATGTTCAATAAAAATATTATTGGCATTATAAATATAGTTTATTTTTTGTTTAGAGCAAATTCTATTTTCATATCTTGTACATACACGACTACGTACGATTACATTTACACATCTATATGTACATATACAATATATTAAAACTAAATTAAACGATAATAACGTTAATAGAAAAACATTACGGTATTCATTGGAAGACAACAGTGTGACGTAGAATGTTTTTTTCCGCTGTTGACAAAGCATAAATGCCTTTTATTAGCATATGGAAATGAACAAGATTGTTAATGCTGCAACAGCTATTGTTGTAATTTGCATAATCTTTTGGTATTAATTTCTTACCATTTTAGGTAACTTCTGTTTTATAATGCGCGTAAATGCATTTCTGTAAAAAATATTAGGAATATATATATATATATATATATATATATATATTAAACTTAATTGTATGTATATACATATGCGTGCGATCACTTAGCAGATGTTAATATGTATAGTTTGGGATATAAAACGTATATAAAATGTATTTCCATTTGTGAATCAAGCATTTGTTATGGCATCGCGAATTTTTACGCTCCTTGGTAGATAGGTACGCGCTTCGCTGCGAAAGCAGCGAGTCCTTCGATTCTATCCTTCGTATTCACAAGCTTGCTGTAGCATTGTTCCTCGATCTCCATACCGTCTTCCAGAGAAATCTCCATACCTTTAGATATCGCCACTTTCGCCAATCTAAATGATATTATATCATAAGATTAAAAGTTTTTATAATATTGACAGCAAATGTGAAAAATATAAATAGAATACAAGTCAAAGAAATACATATACTCGCGCACGATAAGCACAAGAAGATAAACGTATATGGTGTGATGTGTATTATATAATACATGAGTGATGATCGTATCAACGGTTCTGAGTAAGCAACTTTACGTTTAAATACCTGTTTCTTATGAATCATAATAATAATAATAATAATTCACAGGTTGGCATATTATTTTAAAGTATTTTATTTTTTTGTTTTCTAATTATACTGTTTTGTTCATTTTATTCTATTGTTCTTTTCTTATATAACTAATGTTTTCATTTTTCATATTTTTATTTTACTTTTATTTATTCTTCTTATTTATCTTTATAATTTATATTTTTAAAATAGGTTCTTATATTACACTGAATAATTACATTCTTTTATATCAACGACTTACCTAACACCAATAGGACCGTTCGGTAAAATTTCTCTCGCGATTGTAAGAGCCATTTGGTAAGCTGCATCGCCGATCTTGTTTTGCGGAACCACTTCGTTGACGAGACCGATCTGCTGCGCCTGCTCACCGTCCAGAATTCGTGCGGTATAGATCAATTCTTTAGCCTTGGCTGTTCCAATTATCCTCGGAAGTCTTTGCGTTCCGCCGGCACCTGGGATTATGGCTAGTTTAGTCTCGACGAGGCCCATCTTCGCTTCAGACGAAGCGACCCTGATATCGCTGGCTAACGCGAGTTCCAATCCTCCGCCCAAAGCTGCCCCATCGATGGCCGATATCACCGGCGTTGGCAGGGTCTCCACGTCGGTCATGAGATCTCTCAGGGTGGACACGAATCGCAACACCTCCGAATTGTCCATTTTAAATCTCTCCCGCAGGTCTGCTCCAGCGCAAAATACTTTTGGGACCAAACTGCGTACTATCAGCACTCTCAGCTTGTTGTTTTGCCTGATGGAGGCCAGCGCTTCATTCAACTGAGAGATCAAGGTCTTTCCGAAAGAATTACGAGCGGCAGGCCTGTTTAATCCTAATACAGCAATACCATTATCTTTGCCATCCAAGTAACTGACGATCACTTCTTTCGCCTCGTCCTTAGGACTTGGCATCGCGCTCGTAGTCAATGTCCTTGTGGCACAAGCGCAAAAATGATAAAGAGAGCTGGTAGCTCTGACGCTTGCCACTAACGAAACCATTTCGCGTTAAGCCGAATAAAAGATGTATTTCCTTTAAAAAAAACTGTGAATCTGGAATAAGGTATATTTGTATATCTTATCGAAATTCAATTATCTCTCTTTATAATCTCTCATTTTGTATCATCTATTAAATATTATATACAACGCTACTATGTAACTTTTTACATAGTATTTAAGTGAATATGATAATCTTCCAAGAGAACTTACTCGAATGTAACTGACCGGTTCCTCGACTCTCGTACGACGCCGTAGACGTGAAAAAATTTATGACGTCGTTATCCTTGATCCTATTTCGGGATTACGATGTGGCAGCAACGGGAGCATCGAGAGGCGCGCGAGCGCGCACGCGACAGAGTGGGATTATGTGGGATCGCGCACAATTTTTTTTTTCGAGTGCCGCGGCGTGTTGTTTCCCGCGGACGGATCGTGCCGAGAAATATCACCCGGCCTCGCTCTGCACCGTTCTACGCCGCGCGGCTCTTTGGACTTTACGGACCCCGGTCACAGCGGCTGTACGGCATTACAACAGTATAGCGGCGGTGACCAGCGGCGACACAAGTGGTAGGGATGGACCGAGAAAAGAGATCGAGCGAGACGCAGCGTGGGGACGAGCCGCTGTGACCGAGAAAATCCCTCCACGTTCGAACACAACCGCGTCCAAGTCGCGGACACGACTGTTTGCTTTCCACCAATGCGAAGTAAACGAAAGCAACATCAACAGTCGCACGTGTCAGTGCCGGATCCATCGCGCGTGCGCACAATGCGCGCTGCGCGATCTCTGACAGATTCGAGAGAAATGGTCTGTTTCCTGTTCCTGCACTGAGAAAAAATATCAAACATCTCACTTTAAGTTCTAAAAGTTCACTAGTTCAGCCACAGAAAACAGACCTAAAGAGGATGCCACTTGATCCTCTCTGGCGAGTCTTTCTTTTCTCTCCTCCGCCCGCATAGTCATTTGGGCTTAATTATATAATTCGTGGTCTCAATTAGGACTCAACACATTGCGGATACTTCCATATACATTTACGCGTCTCGAATACGTTTCCTAGTAGAAATTATTTATTAGCTATAGTAGAACGTCGGAAATATATACAATCAGCCACTATTTTTTTAGGCCAATTATACTGTGCCAATAAATTGTACTTATTATATGAATATCAGGGCCATTATACCATCAAGGAAATAATTATTTGGCTCTTTGCCCTTCTTAGTTTTGTATTGTTTTGTAAAAAGAAACTTTTTCTCTCTTGGAAAATTGTAAGAGCGTTGCAATGCTCGAAAGTAATCTTATACGCAATTAATTCAGTTATATAGTATATGGTATATGGTAATATTTACTCAAAAGAGTCATTTTAAACGCAGTTTTCACACCATTGATATTATCGCGCGGTAATTTAATTTTATTGTTATATTCGAAGAGTACAATTGACTTCTATATGAGTATGAGTGTATTTTGGAAATATAACATGTATAAATTCTCGATGACAGATTATGAAACTAATTATGTATATAATGATACTGAACGGAACCGTATTAGACCTATACAGTGATACTGCAGTAGATAAATTACACGTGTGCAACCAGTCGAGAATCGTATATTTACAAAATGTATCGCCGTAATACATTCTGAGGAAAACATTTGTATGTAAATCTGTGTTTATTTCTGGTAGCGACGACGCTGCCACGCTAACTTAGCAGGAATTTTATCGATGTAGAAATTCCTTCTTGCTACTGCAAATAGAGTCGCGTATATATTGTTAAAAAAAAATTTCACACTTGAATAAAGTAGAAAATGTGTCTATTTTTAACATTTAAATAAGTCATAAATGCAGCAATAAGAAAAATCATTGCGATGTCAACAAAGATAATAAACGCATTTTTCTTATTGCAATATTTGCATGTTAATGATAACGGTGCAATCTCATTACAATGAGAATTGACGTGATAAAATTTCCCTTGATGATGAAAGTTGAGAAATTCTCCATCGCGATGTAATGTATATCATTATATTGCTAATTTAATATGCGTTGACACACACATAGATAAATGCTCTTGATTTAAAAATTATTTAAAGATTATTTGATTTTTATATATTTGCATTCAAAGCACATGTCTTACCTAAAACATACATATATACTACAAAGTACATATAATACAGAGTATTTCCTATTTTATGTACGTGTATATAATTACAAATTTATTGAATATCTTTGTATTTTGCATAATGCATGTTTAAAATGTTTCACATAAATTTGCATAATCCTTGTTAATATTAATATATATTGATATTAAACAATAATGTACGTTAAATTGCAGTAAAAATTAAGTAAACTGAGCATTATCATGGTATTTATGTTAAATCAGTAATGTAACGATATACATTAATATTAATGTATGTATATTAGTTTAAAATTAATATAAATGTAACGAAATCTTTTTTCACTTGCAAAGTAAGGAACTTAAAAATTAAGGAATAAGAATTAACACATAAAAATAAACATACTTTTGGTGTATATTATAGTATACATTCTGTATTCTAATACTCTGGCAATAGATATCTGTTTACATTTATTTAAACAGAATGTCCTATCTCAAATTATATTGCATCTATACTTATGTGTTCCGACATTTAACCGCATTCCTAGAATACATACATATCAGACTTTCTGAAGATAAATTACAAACTATATGACAAATAAATAAATAAATAATAAATAAAGTACGTCCAAAATTCGTCCAACATGAAACTCGAACATGATATAAGAGATATTCCTCTTCTGCCGTATCGTTTCTGAATCCTTTTGGAATCGATTTCTCCTTAGAAAAGGAAGGATTGTTATCGATGATTGTTTTTTATCTTTAGCATAGAATATAGAATTAATTAAAATATGTTAATCGAATATAATTTTGTCATGTTTTTTACAGCTTAGTTTATCAAAAAATTCTTATTTTTAATTATTACTTAAAAACTATTGATGCATTGATATTGCTCTTGAGGAAAAATTGATTCCGAATTGACCCAACGATTTGTCATCAAAAAAAGTAACGTAGTGCAAGTGGGACACCATGCATGCGTTTCCAACGTTACTTTCTCTCGCAAGTCAAAAAAATGATTAATAAATCCGTCAAAGAGTCGCATCGCGCAGCTTTTGCGGCTCGACAGACTTTATAATATATACGAGTATATTCCGTAAAACGCGATACGCATCATATTGCATTCGATCTTCAATGAGGATTTTTCATGGATCGACTCTCACTTCGATTGGTGGTTATTGGTAGTTTCAGTTGGATCAAGGAGCGGCAGGAGTATCGTATGTACTTTAAGCTGCAGGTGAAACAGGCGGCGGTCGAAGCATTGACCTGGTGGCCGAAGAAAGTTTTTGCGACACCAAATGCGCGATATGCGACGATCTCTTCCACACAAACTCTCGCGTTCGGTCATGATCGTCTTGGCTTTCCACTCGAACCTGATTTAAAAAAAAGAAAGAAATATTTGATTTATTGAATACAAATATGAATACAAACTAACTTTAAGCAAACGAAGGAGTAGCTGTTTATTGTCGTTCTTAACTGTTTCATTACATCAATCTCCGTTTCAAATCTGAGATCAAATTTCACGTCGAGTTGTAACAATCGTAATATTGAATTAAATGCAAAAAATATTCGTACAGAATAAATTGTTATAAAAAAGCCTTATTAATTATAGCAATTCTATACAATGAGTATATTCTAATATAAAAGAAAGAGAGAGAGAGAGATTTCTTGTTAACATATTCTAAAAATACCTTATATTTGTATATATGAATAATTTATTATTTAATCTGCTTATTGATTTAACATTCGAGTTCCGTGATATTCATGCGTTATAACTTGTTTTTTCTCTCTGTCGATGTACCTGTTTAGGTTGCAAAACTCGAATAGAATGCAACGTCGCCGCACCGCCGTGTAACACACGGAGGCTCAATTTGCCAGACATCTCGGCCGTAGTAGCGGTTGCGCTCCTCAGCTCTTTTTTCGCGGCCCTGCCAAACTCTTTCTCGACCTTCAGCACCAACGGTCCCAGGCTGAACTTGGTCTTAATTGTTGTGTGATCACTCATCATATTCACCGATACATCGCCCGTCCTCTGCAAGGATGCCAATCCATACAGAGTGGCTCTCGCTTTTGGTTTGCTCTTAGACTTGGTCTAAAAATCACAAGAAAGCTCATTAAATACTCATTTTATCCATTCAGATGTAGTAATAAAAAAGATATAACGTTTACGTTGTTTTTGTTCTTGTTGCTGCTTTGATTTTTCGTCCTGTTCTTCGTTCGTTTGCGATTCTTGTTAGAGTTTTTATTGCTCTTGTTAGTCGTGTGTCTATTATTAGATCTCATGCTAATTTCTGCAGGAGATTCCAGTGAAATCGGTTCTTTCTCCGTTCCGTTTGTTTGCGTTACAGATTCAATCTGAGTGACTTTCTGTAAATATAAATTTTATATACATATATACGTATACAAAAATATGTACTGAACATATTTATTAAAAATGCATATAGAATCTTTGAACATATAAATAAATTTACAGATGAAGACATGATAGATTCTTCAATGACTTTAAACTTAGTTTTTATTTTTAATAAGATTCCAGAAATTTATCAGCTATTTTATTCTTTTAAATTTTTAAATAAAGTTTTATTATTTAATTAGATTCTTAAAAAATTTAATTGGTGAAGTTTTCTATTTTTAGTAAACTATTAATGTGTCTCAATATTGCCATTAAAATTCGATATTATATAAATTCGGTTTTGCAATAATAAAAATTATTTGAATCATTGGAAAGAGAACGCTTGAAATCATACCTCGACGCCATTTTCATTATCACTGTTTGCAGTAACAGCGGATGTGTCGATCGGCCTTGAAGCGCTCTTCTTAGTACCATTCTTGATGCCCTTCCTCTTAGTCTTGTTTTTATTTTTTTTGGAGCTTGAATTTGAATTTGTTAGTTTTACAGTCACCGGTTCATAATTGGCCCGCAAAATGTTGTTGATCTTGCCGAGAATATTGTCGACGAACCGATTATATTTTGCCACATAAATGGCTGGCACGTGACCACTCGATTCGGAGTCCATGGCACCTATAGATCATTGATAGAAATTGCATCAGTCAATTTCTATACTTTTTTGGATATTCTTCGCGAAAATTCATATGGAAATGCTATCTTTAACATTAAAACATCGCATTCTGAAATTATTCATGCTGCGACATTTTATCACATGAAAAATATATTATACTTATTTATTTAAAATATAATTAACTATTTTAAATCTTACAAGTCTTTTAACTAATTTCTGTAGCGGGGTGTGTGTGAGTGTGTGTGATCAGATGACTGACTATGGATCTGTACAAATTTTATATATACATATTGTATAATAGAATACTATTATATGTCCTATATGAATTTACTAAATATTAATTTTATAATTTTACAAATTTTGTGCCATCATCATCGCTACCAGCCCAAACATTATCACTTGGCAATCTCTATTCATCTCCAAAAGCCATCAGTTTACAAGTGGCAAACCGCCAAAGTTGTCAAAAATCGCTCGTTATGAATTCAAAGAGAGACTATAAAAATTTCTAATTTGAGAAACAGAAAGGGAAAAAGAGTGACTTTAGAAATAAGCTTCGATTGCGTCCTTGAGACCACTTTTCGTAAGGTCATTTCGTCTCGTCCGGGTCATCGACCAGGGTGGGACTGTGTTCGACGTTGCCTTCCGCAGCTCGACGTACCGTCTCTGAGTTTTAATGAAGGGAAACGCATTCCTCTCCCCGCTGGTTACCTTGGAAGGAAGTCGACGTTTGCTGATCGAGGAGGAGCCTACTTAAAGCAACGACAATGTTAACGGTATATCGGAATCCTTCGGCGCGGCCAAACTGGTCCCCGATCTAGGCCATGACCTCCTTTTTCGCTACATAACTCACCTACAGACCTATCTAGCCGCGCAGGTCCATCCGACTGCTGCCTACCTAAAAACTCTCCCCCGGTCATTGCACCTCCTGCAGCACGTAAGCACGACTTTCTTTCGGACGTCACGACGCCGTGCCACGCCGCGCCGCGATGAAAATCTCATGCCACGGGCAATATTATCAAGGCCGTCTACTTCTGGCACAGACGGAGGCATTGAATGTCGAGATCTTGGTCGAAGCCCGATCGGAGTCTTTCGATAACCCCGGATCTACAATACGTGTTTTAAGACTTAAGCAATTACAGTCGAATTCGAAGAGAACTATGAGCTTAAGACTTAAAACTCTATTGTAGATCCGGACTAACACGTACATGATAATAGCTTCTCGAGAATCTTTGGTGTATTTTAGAGGAATATTTTTTGACGCGACTGACCCGAGATTTTCTTCAAGAGGTACTTAATGATTTCAAAACAAAAATTACTTGATACAATAAAACGTTTGATATATGCACATGATCCAAATTTTATCGTTATAAATTAAATGCTTATTGAAACATTAATAAAAAATTTTCATTTAGATTAATAAAAAATTTAGCGAAACCAAATAACAAACATATTATACGAGACACACATACACAATGAAACTTTTTATTTAAACTTGTTCTTTAGATAATATACTTTTTAATTATAATACGAAGACGCTACACGAAATGTATTACATCGCTCAAAAATGTTTGTGATTACTTAATATATTCATCATCTTATTATGTATATATCTATTGGAATAAAAGTAAATAGTATTTCTTACATGACTCATGATTATGATCTCGATCTTTATTTTTTATCTAGATCTTTATTATATTCTCTATCTAGACCATTTTCCGATTCTTTTATATTTATTTTCGTGCATGTGTTATTTATATTTTTTGAAGTAATTATAATTTAACGTTAAACATTGAAGCAACAATGGTTTGCTGCAGTAATTACTCAAAACAAAAGATATCAACTCTTATATCAATATCTTATCTTACCTTACATATTTGCAATTACTCAAACGACAATATAATATTTCATCCACTGCAATCAGATATTTCAGAAAGACACATCATTAATTTTGTGTAAGACATAAACAAATAATTGTCTTCAAGCATCTCTCCTTCTTGAAGAACGAAACGGGTCAATCGGACCTACGTATGCACGTAGAAAAGCACACGGAAAGATTAAAAGCGACCGTATATTAATTCACGATTTAAGCATGTCACGTGACAGATACCGAAGGACATCGGCTTCGACTATGGGTCAGGGTCACAGTCGGAGGAGGCTCTTCCGATATATCGCTTACGCGTTCTCCGGGTCGGTGACCTCGTTTCTTATTTCGACCGGCTACTCCCGGTGAAAGCCGGGAAAAAATTTCAATGCGGTCACACCTTTGTTGGATTTAACCCGACACTCATGTAGAAAGTTAATTGGATGTGGCGCGCGACGGTTAATTAAGAATCTCTGTTCATAAACTGATGGCGGCGATTTGCTCGATAAGCATCAAGTCGAACGATTTTGTTCCTGTTACTTCCTTTCTAGTTTTACCCCAAGTTAATTGAAGACTAAATGTTTCAAAACATGATAATGATATTTGCGATTGATAATCAACTTATATACAATATAAATGTTCAGAAATGTTTAAATGTATTGTAAGTGCACAGTATCGTTTATTGTAATAAGAACTAGTGAAAGATAGAAAAATTAAAGTAGAACTATTAAAGGTATAGTTGATATATATATGTAGGACAAATCGAACAAAAGCAAACTGTTTATAAGGTAGAAACTAAGAATAGATCTATGAATAACAAAAAGAAAAGCGCTTTAATAAAAAAAAAAAGACATTTGCAGAGTGTGCCGCTGAATCAAATCTTTTCATTTGGTTATCAGCTACTTTTCTTATCAACTACTAGTTAGTTACTAACTACTAATTTTACTATCTACTTGGGGGGTACACAAAGGTACGGGAGGAACGTACGTTAAGGAATATGAATAAAGGACAAATGGAAGAACGTCGTGCTACTGTCCAGGTACACGTTGTTGCAGTCGATCGTCCAAAACCGTCCACCAAATACGCGATTATCTACTATGGCAGAAAATACAGCTGAAGCGACAGTATGAACAGCTATAGTCTCATGAGAAACGTGTGACAAGAAAAAAAAAGCAAGTGAGGTCGAATTGATACAAGATATCTGCAGGAAAAGAGAAATGTGCCGCTATCTATCGAATGCATTTAAATATCCAGACGGGTTACTGCACGTCACGTCACAAGAAGACGAAGAACACGCCCTTTCCTCAGCCGGAGATCGAGATCGATAATTTTATCGAGAAAATATAAATTCCGATACGCGAAAGCAACTCGATCTACGTTCATCCGACGATTTTCCTCACGTTTGCAGCATCGAAAGTTGATTCGAATTGAAGTTATCCTAATCTCCAGCTTTAAGTGAAAGAGATTCGCAATCTGAGATTTGTCGAAGGAAGAAAAACAGAGAGAATTTATCCTCCTGGATCACGCGTATCGCGAGTGTATCTGGACACAAACACGTACGACTAATTTGATGTAACTGGACAATGGTGAATGAAATAAATAGACGGTACACATAGCTTTGTAAAAATAATAAATTATTTATATTTTGCAATCCAGAACGGACAATGTCTCTGTACAAGTCTTGGTTTAGAGTAGAGAAACATCGTAAATAAATATATCTCTCGATTCGCGCGGAGCAATAGACATCGTCATCGGATGTGTTTAATCTGGCAAGTGATACGCAACTATCACTTAATAGAAATGCAATATAAAATATAAATCTATATAATTTTTAAGATTATATATATATATATATTTACACTAAAGAACATTGATGTTTGACTTACCTGCCAGATTAAACATCTTATTGTTAATTCGACAGAACAGAGACAGACAGAGAACGAGATCAATTTCTCGTTCTGTTTTTTTTTTAAATATAGGCGATTTTAATGTCTCTTGATCCTATAGATGAGACTATATGATATTTCTAGATTTTTCGGTCTCTCTTTCTCTCTCATGCACGCGCATTTCCCTTCCGTTCTCTTCCTTTCAATTTTTCTCTCTTTTTTATCATATATTTTTCTCTCGTTCGACTGATAGCAAAATGGATCATAAATATTGGAAAAAGGAAGGAAATACGTGACGTGTGAGGTCACCAAACCAAAGCATTTCAATGCTACTCCATGCAACACAAAGATTTAGAAGATACTAAAAGGTACTTAAAAAAACGCATTCTGAAAGGATCTATAATAAACGCCTAAAAAATTAGCGCGTGTTTTAAACAAAATATATTTAAAAAATGTTTAAAAGATCAGAGAGAAACCAAAGGACTATAAAGAGACCGGTCGTGTCAGTCTATGGTGCGGTGTAACGTGAGAAACATTAAATAGAGATATTCCCGTTAATAAATATAATAAATAACTAACGCTTGAAATAATTTAAAGTCAAACGACTGTTTAGTGTACAAAACTGAAGTAAATAGCAGAAAATTTCTGCTCGCGCGAAATTTTATCAGCGCAGACTTTTTGTCATTTAATAACTTATTGAGAAAAAAATTTCTCAATCCGATCGAGAAACTGTCACGTGGATATAGTGTAACAAATTTCTTTTCGTTCTTCTTTCTCTTTTCATCATAAACTAAAAAAATATTGTGAATATTTACGTTAAAAGAAGGAATTGTATAAATTAAAGAAATCGAAGAAAAATTATATATATACATAAATTGTATTAAGGATTTATTTACTAATAAAATTATTTGGATGTTAAAAGTTTGTTAAATTTCTAAACACATAAATAATAATCTTGTTTTCACAATGTTTAATTCGAGTCGACTTAAGAAATTAAAAATAATATCAATTAATTTCCAATAAAAATATTAAAATAAATATTTATTATATTACTCATATTGCTATATGTAAAATATTTTTAATGTTAAGAAACAATATGAAAATGGAAGGCAAAATCATAATTAGTACGTGTAGTACTCTCTTGCACTTTTATATATAGGTTGTAAGATCTTCTCGTTTCATTCACACAATTTTTTTCTTAAACTCTCACAAAGGCGTGATCATTATGTTTAAAAGAGATATGAAAACGAAACGAAATGAATAAAATAAATTCCGTTCCACGAGCGAGCTTCGCGATCGGGTATGTCATTCTAATAATCAATCTCGTATAAGACTGACATAAAAACGCTCGATAGAATCGATCAGTGACAGACAGCCATCGATATGCAACAACTTTTACGAAACTACTTTCCAAGAAACTTCCATGCCAAGAGTCAAATGACAGCGGCGGCAAAGACAAGTGCGTGAAGTCGAGGGATCACGTAGGTACGTTGCACTTATCACCCGACTTTCACGGCAACTCGGTCTAAACACTCTTCAATGCGGAGGTGGAAGGAGAAGAAGTAGAAGAAGAAGAAGAAGAAGAGGAGGATAAAGAAGAGGAAGAGATCGACCTGCCTGACTTGCGAGGGTGCTTGACGTTATGTTTCTTAGCCTTCTTGCTCTTGAACTCACGTGCGTGCCTAGCGTCGGCGATGTCGGCGATATCATCCACGTCATCGTCGTCATCATCGTCGTCATCATCATCATCATCGTCGTCGTCGTCATCGTCGTCATCGTCATCATCGTCCGTGATGTCTAGATCTACATCGTCGTCGTCATCATCATCGTCATCGTCGTCGTCCTCGTCGCTGGTCGGAGCAGCCGCTGCAACCCCAGGAGAAACTCCAACGGCCTGGACTGATACCGGATTCGAGACAGATTCGGCACCTTCGAACGTTGTCTCGTGAATGTTGGATGCAGCCTGACTCTCAGCTTCATCCTCGTAGCTGCCAGCATCATCCTCGGCCGTTTCACTCGACGCGGCATCCTCCGCAGCTTCCTCGCTGGCCTGATTTAGATCAGCCGCCACGGCGAGCGGCACTTGCGGCGAATTGACAGGGGTAGCTGGTGTTACAGCGGATGCAACAGGTGCAGGTGAAGCGACTTCGTCCTCGTCATCATCATCATCGTCATCCTCTCCTGCAAGTTGACAGAGATACAATGTAGATAAAAATATTTGCTTTATTATAGCAATGATTTATTAGGTCGAGCGAGATGTATCAAGCGAGTAATATTTTCCGACGAGAATAATTTCCTCGAGTTAATGCAATAAACCCGTACTAAGAAAAAATGTACAACTTCGTTAAAATATTACAAAATACAGGTAACAATTTTATTGTCTTTATAAGTTTACGCATTCGTGATTTTAACGCACTCAGCATATAAGAGACAGCCGGGGAATCGAGAGAACTCAGATTATCTTTTGGTATTCAGGTCAATGCGAAGAAGTAGCGCGTAGAAATTTTTTTTCAGAACCGAGATCGCTGTCGATTTATGTTAATTTGGACGAGTCAAAGTACCCTGTACCGTTACAACTCGCAAGCATATGTGAGCGAGAAAGATTCTCAGGCAATACGAAGCTTTGCGTTTACATAACGGTTTGTGTCAGTTTGCAAGATTTTCTATTGTCTGACATTCGAAGGGAAGGAAATTGATACAACACGTATGCGTAAATCGAAGAAAGGAAAGAATTGATTCGCATTGTTCAGCTCTCAGATGGAAACACTCACAGTTTAGACGTGATGCATTGTTCAGTACGGGAGAAATTAAGCTGTTTATAAATACATTACTGGCAAGTAGATAATTGTACATTTAGGAAAATTTTACCAAATAAGTACTTATATTTAGTATCAAGTTTCTGTTATATTTTCCGTTATCTTCCTATATTCCGTTTTTTATGTATATAAAAGTTTTAATAATTTATTTAGCAAAACTGCTATTTGAATATCAAGTTTATGTAACGGTAGGCTTGTTAATAAATATATTAATTAAGTAAGAGAAATTAAGAATATCTATATGTATATATATTTGCGAATCTTTAACTTCCCACTTTTTTTTTAATTTACTCCACTTGGTATTTCTTTATCTTCATTTGTTTAAGCCATCAATCTACATCTTTTCGAATGCATTCGTTACTTTTGTTAAGATTATTTAAGATTTAGATTTAGAAAAATATATTACGGTTAATGTTGGAAAACAATGCAGTGTCGTGCGATTCCTCACCTCCAAGTATATCTTCAATGAAACGCTCCAAATAATCGCCGTCATCTTCATCGTCGTCGTCGTCATCATCGTCATCGTCATCATCGTCATCATCATCATCATCATCGACGATATCTAAATCGACGTCGTCGTCATCGTCGTCGTCGTCGTCATCATCATCATCGTCGGTGGCGACTGGCGCCGCAGGCGCTTGCCTGCCGGTCGCAACAACATTCTGAGTCGACACCTTGCTGTCAGCAATCTTAGGCACCGGCGAGGCGAGTGCCCCTATCGCCAGACAGCACAGCAACGTCAGCACTGCTGCTAGTCTCATGGCTCTGCAAATAGAAGTAAACAGAAGGAAATAGAATTACTATTACATTTTTAAAGAACAGGTGTTATTTAGAAATATTATCGTCTTTTTCAACACTTGGAATTGAAAATAACGTAAAATAAAAATTGCACGATGGATTTTTCTGCAAATAAAGTTTAAAAACTAGATGTTTATCTACACGCACAATGACATTTTTATTTACAAATCACTTCTATTCAGCTCTTAAATACCAGATAGCGTTTTTTTAGAAACGACACTAAATAGAATTGATTAGATCCTACTTTCTCTTTTTCTTGTAATAATCCTTTTGTCTATTTATTAAACAAATGCAAAAGGTGCGACCGATCTGGGACATCTTATTGCCCAGGCAGGTTTACTCGAAGTAACCGATAAATTGACAGGAGCACGTCGGCGATGATAATTCGTTCGTGTTACCCGTTACGGGCAACACGTGCGACTAGTTAGAACGTTATTCTAGGCACGATAAGTGCGGGGTACGGTAACCCGGCGGGCTATATACAAGTTAACCGTAAGGAATCGCGTCTTTTTCTGCCTGTACAAGAGATACTTTCCGTGCCCAGACCGGCGATCAATCGCACGAGTCACCCCATCGCGGGATAAACTGTTCTCATAAAGCGCATAATGCGCATGACGTATCATTTTATCCTTGTTATTTAAGTTAAACGAGGATAAAATAAAATATTATGCGCTTTACGGAACGCAGTCAGCATCTCATATAACATTCCAGTGCGTATGTTTTCAACTTTCGGAGCACGAGCATATCGCGAGACGAGATTTACGAGCTGCATTACAATAAACCGGATATCTTCATTGTAAGAGAATAGTATTACGAATAGAATAAGAACAGTAATCGATGATATCTTCGTGTATCGTTTTACAGTCATTTCACGATCGAATCTAGAGGGAAGGATTGGTATGAGGTAGAGATTGAAATAAGACAAACGTAAGTAAAAAATATACTACATGATGTGCGTCGACAAAGAATACAAATAAGTGACGAATAATGTAGAAATCAATTCTTTTTCAATCTGTATAATTAACTTACAAAATATTAACATAAAAAAAATTTTTTATGCAGTAACATAATTTTTTATGCATATGACATTAAAAAACTGTATCTTATCGCAAACTTATGAATGATCTTTTTTGCAAAAATTGTAAAATATTGATGTCGATAGAAATATATATGTGAATAGAATTTTTTAAAACTTTTACATAAAAAAAGAGGGTAGTTAAACTGGAAGTTAAGTGAATTTTTCCCTTTTTCAAACAAGTTATTAATAATAAATTAATAAGAAGTAAATAAATAAAAAATTTAAATAAATCTTAAATTTTTATTAGAAAATATCTTAAAATTTTTTTCTACTAATTCTTTAATTGAAAAGCATAATAAACAACTTTTCTGTTATTTTCAGTTTTAAAAAGAGTAATTGAATCATTTTTTTATTACCTTTCATTAAAAAAAAGGTAAATAAAATGTCTTACATTATAATTTCATACAGACTTCGCGAGCCGATAGCGACTGCGTTGGTACCCGGAAGTAACCCTGCGACGAGTTGGAATCAGAAGAGACTCAACCGGATGAGAAACCAAGAACGGCAAAGAACCAAATTCACACGAATCCTTCGGACGCGAATACGTCACACGAAGAATACCAGCTACCTCACTATATTAGCGTCGCACACAGTATCACTTAGCCCTCAAGAAAATCTTGCCTTCGATTAACTCGATTGAGCGGCGAGAGAACGAGGAAGGGGATGGGGCACCAACACGGAGTCGGTCAAGGTCGTTCGAAGGTCCGTCTACCGGAAATCGTTCTCCATTCCGATTCAGTTCGACGACTTCTGAAGGGTGGTAAGCACTTTGTTTTCTCCACTTTGCTGTGTATCCGGTATCCCTCGGGAACTCACCTCTCTGTCTTTTTCTCTACTCTCCTTTTCTACGTCTTCTCGAGGTAGACGATTGACGATCGACGATGACACGCGTATACGTCCCGGTTCTTCCACCGATCGATCCACCGAGCGGCCCGGTGAGAGTGTTAAAACAGACGAGGCGGTCGCGATGCGACCCTTTTATACCGACCCGTACCTCCACCTCTTTCATACTCCTTCGTCGTCCTCCTTCTCGTCGTCGTCGTGATCTTCCTGCGTTTATTCGCACCATACCTACCTATCTACCTACCTACCCACCTATCTTCTGTTTTCCACGTGGCCCGATCGAACGTTTTCTCCCTTTCTGAGACATGCGTAAGCAAATTTTATACACGAGTATATTTTACACTTGTCAAAATCATTATAAATCTTACAATTTCGCAATTCATCTATAGAAAAAAGAAGAAAAGGAAAAAGAGAGAGAGAGAGAGAGAGAGAGAAAGGGAAATACACAGGAAGCTCTTATTTAACTTTTCTCTTATTATTGATGTGTATGTGCGTGTATGTTTCTCACTAATTCCTACTTTCCATATATAATATCCATTAATATTTATGTCTGATTCTATTCTATTTTTTATATAATTATTATTTTTCTCATCATATAACAAGTTAAACTTTATTCTATATATTTTAAAATATATTTTATACATTTCTACTTCTAATTATTTCTTTATAAATAATTTAACTGTGTCAAATATTACAGTAAATAAGTTTTACAGTAAAGCTGTACTAGCTACATTATCTTAGCGATAAAAAAGTACACTTAAAAAAATTTTCATATCTTAATATTTTAAGATTTTCAGAATTTCTAAGAATTTTTTAATTTACTAATTTTTAAATTCTCTCTTTTCAAGATTACGTGAGTGAGCATTATTCGAAGTAAAATTTTGCGATAACTATAATTACATGAGAATATATTGAGAGAAAGAGTATTATAAATGCTCTATCTTAAAACAGAGATAAATCAAGCTCGCATTAAAAGATCATTGTCACTCTCGCTCCTTCTGGTGAAATGTTATAATATTTCCTTTGATGACGCTGCTTATTTGATGTGCTACTTTCGTCATAAATAATGCATTACTCAAATCGACACTGCGGATATTTCGTTCGCTCTTGAAACGACTAATTAACAACAGTTGCTTCGCATATGGATGATTGGCGTTGTTTAATGCAAACGATCGCGGATATAAAATGATTACACTGATTAATTGAACAATCGTATTTTATGTGTTGGACATATCCATCGAAAAGGACTTTCTTACGATGATGTGAATAAATGTTCAATGTCAAGTTGACATTCTAGAAATTATACAAGTTGAGTGCTCTCTGTGATTAATCAATAATAAGACAACTCGAAAATAAAATGGGTAATTAACTTAAAGAATGTTTGTTAAAAACGTTAAAATTTATAAAAAAGATCTTAATTACATGAATAATATTTTTATTTTATTTTACCTAGATTCATTATAATTACTTATCTCGATTAGTTACTTGTACTTTTTATGTCTCATAACCATAACCCGTAATTTATTTGTATATATAGCTTTAATATTTTATAATATTTTGCAATTAATAAGATAAACTTTACATAAACTAATAAATCCATCTAGCGATATAGAACAGAGAGCGAGAGTGTATAGACTCGTAAACTCTTCTCTTCTTTAAGAAGATTTCATTTACGGTTAAAGCTTTAAATCAGTATAATATTTAATATTTATGACCTATATATATAATTCTAATATAAATTTTAGAAAATTATCTAAAATCTAAATCTCTTGCAAAAAAAATAAGACTATACTAAACTATTTATAAAAACTATCAGGATCAAGTCTGATATAAAATGCCTAATCAACTTTTCGTATCTTTTATTAGATTATACTTGCTGTAAAAAATTCTCATATTTTTATAAATATTTTTTTACAAATCTAGCATGTAAATTTTAAATACATTTTAAATAGTGCTCGATCGATTTCCAACGATATTTTTTTTTGTTAATCGGATAATAATCAACATATTCAGCCATATTATAAAAAAACCTTGATTCTGACTAGTGTTAAGGATTAAAACGAGAATCACAGAAATGAAACGTTCGCCTCGAAAACGAGGAGCGAAAGCAACGCACTCGATCGTCATCGGACCGGTCGATCGTCTAACTGTAAATACCGAGCAACTTCTTCCTGCGGATGGCATAGTAGTAGCTACTGATGGATCGATCATATACCGCCAGCATCCGCTCTGTCTAATGCCCGAAGCGACGACGTTGGATTTTTATACGACACGTTTGTGGAACGCCGAACGATTTCACGCCTCGAGACAGTCGAGATTACTCCCGATACTCTTCGTAGATCTAATACAAACAATTTTTCTCGTTCTCAGAGTGTTTATCATATTATATTTCGTCTGCTGATTGGAAAAATTCTGATAACTCTCAAAGATGAATACTCACAGAAAAAAAAATAAATTTTTTTTTTCTGTGAATATATAGAAAAACCTTTTTTTTATTCTTCATTCGATAGTTTTTGTTAATATCGAACGATATCTTATTTCTATTGTTATCACGATAAATGATGAGAATCTATAAAAGCTAGACAATAATAGAGCGCGATTGCACTTGAGTAACGTAGATCTACGAGACGAACAATAATGATGTTTAATAAACTCACAATCGGGTTAATCGTGATAGCATCGCACATCGATTAGCTGCAATGATATCAGAAAGATTAATTTCAAGATCATTATGTGTTGTGTGTGTAACTATAATACTGCAATTGTTCTTTTCATACACTTTTTAACTATTTCTGGCATTTAAGTGTTAAGCTCAAAAAAGCATTGCATGTATCATACTATATTATAATATATTTTTATTATTACACATTTATTGATTCTTAATTGATATTTCGAAATTTCCTTAAGTGATATTTATAGATCTGTACTTTAAATTAATAAATTTTTTTTACTTTAAGTTAACGTAATTAAACAATTTTTGTTCATTTGGTAGGTTAAAATCAAAGGAATGAGATTATTATAATTTAAAAATATGTTGATCATAAAAAATATTTGTTGTATGTATATAAACAATTTTTTATAATGTAATTGAAGAAAACATTCGCATCTCTATTAGACAATACAAAAATTAATTAAAATTAACTATCTTTGTGTAAAGAGATATTACACATTAAGAATATCATCATCTATATTTAATCGCTATATTTAAATATCTTACTCTGAAAGTTATACAACTAAAATATAAAATAAATCCAATACCAGATATTTATTGATATTTTAAAGTATTTACCTCTGAGTGCGAACGCACACAATTTTGATAATAAAAAGAAAATTGAGAACATATATATTCAATAGAAAACTTCTATTATAATGAACTGATATCGAAAGAAATTTTTTAAAATTATAAGAAAACTATTAAGAGAGGTCTGATTCTTTTTCATTATTGTATACATATATCAATTGTATAAAGAGATAAAATTATCTTGCACATTATTAAATTTTTGCCAAGGCGAAAACGTATTTGAATCTAGCACGGAATCCGCCACCAAGATAATTTCCTAGATAATAGTGGGTGCGTGAGTAACGACGTTATGATGCGAATTGCTCGTTCGCGTGGATCATCGAGTTCTCGGACTCGCCGACTCTCCATTCTGGCTGGAATATGGGATTTGGTGTCACAACGAGACAGAGAAGTAGTCCGCGGCTACGTGAATTAGTAATCAGGATGTGTGTCTCGCGCGAGTGGCGAACGCATTTTCGTATACGCACGTCCGCAAAGAGGGGGCGAAGAACGGGGAAATGAGACAAGTGAGAGAGTGTGAGGAGAGAGAGAGAGAGAGAGAGAGAGAAAGAAAAGATAAAATAAAGAACAAAGTGACGGTACGATTCACACACGCATTCCTCACACTGTCGTCGTGCCACAGGAACGCCATTCATTATTCATTGATTTGTGCGCAAGGATTGAAAACAGCTGCTCAAATTACTGTCCGAATTCTTCGATTGGAAAAATTGAATTTTCGCATCCAGCCTGATTATATATGTTAATTAAAAATTATCCCTGTATAATAAATAATAAATCTATATATTTCCCTTGTACTTGAATAATTAACATGAATTACATTTGTTCTTACAAAGTTTATTGGAACAAGATCTGCAAACCATACAAGCTTCTTAAAATAGGTAATTCAAATACATTCATCCTAAAACCGTGGAATATTACGGTTTATCAGTGCAGTGTAGTTTGTTCGCACTTTTGTTGTACATGAAAGGCTAAGTAAGGCCTATATTGCTATTCACATTTCTTCACGAACAACTTTAAAAATTTTGTCGGAATTTATTTTTTCATTATTTGTACAACATCCTCATCATGCATCACATGTTGTAGTCCTACTCGTTGAGGTGAATATTTCGTACTTGTGCCCTAAAAAAATATGTAATATGTACACACACACGCACATACACGCACGCGCGTACGTGCACGTATTTAAAAATATTAGATTATGTTTTTAATTACACTGTTAATTATATCCAAATATAGTATACTGATGTATATAATTATGGATAACCAGTAACTTACCCATACAAGAGCGTATTTGAATTGTTGGGCAAGAGTACGGTGAATTGCATGACAAACGTGCTCCACTGTCACTCCTTTCCTTAATATTAAACCACCATCAAAATCAGGTGGTTGTCCGGGTTTTTTTGTGTATACCCTTATCAAACTTAAGTATTCCCATAGCGTTTCCAGCAGAAAGTCTAGATTCAATTTCATATTACAACTGAAAAAAAATTAAAATTATGAATAGTAAAAGATACTCAAAAATAAAAATGTAAAAAATATTCTTGAATGTGTTTTATATCTTACCTAACTACAACACTATTAGGTTGTCTAGCGATTCGATCAACTTCTTCTATCGATATTTGATCTATCTTATTATATACATAAAGGCATGGCAAGTATACTCGATTCGCGTTAATAACGTCAATCAATTCATCCGCACTGTAATCTTCACGGAATAGCACTTCGGCATTGAAGATTTTATATTCATGTAGAATCATTTGAACTAATTTTTCATCTACTTTTGTCAAAGGACACGTTGAGTTAAAGGCTAAGCCACCACCTTTCTTTACTTTAAAATATATATTCGGCTTTTTCTTATTGAGTCTTATCCCAACTGATTCCAACTCTTTTTCTAACAATTGTCGTTGAACATCTTGCTTGGTTGCATCTAACATCATAAGTACCAAATCTGCCGTTCTAGCGACAGATATGACTTGCCTCCCTCGTCCTTTTCCCTATTTCAAGAACACAATTCAAAAAGATTATCTAACATAATAATGTGAAAGTAATTTTGTGTAAGATAATTATGACAGTTTCTATAATTTACTTGTGCTGCTCCTTCGATTATACCAGGTAAATCCAGCAATTGAATATTGGCACCTTTGTACTCTATGACACCGGGGATACATGTCAGGGTAGTAAATTCATAAGACGCAGCTTCAGATTGGGTGGCAGTTAAAGTACTGAGTAGGGTCGATTTGCCAACCGACGGAAAGCCAATTAATGCAACTCTGGCATCACCAGATTTCAGCACATCAAAACCTTCGCCCTTCTCAGACTTCTTCGTCGGTTCTAGAAGCTGGGACCTGTACTTGGCGAGTTTCGCTTTAAGTAAGCCCAGATGGTACTCGGTAGCTGTAATTAAATTTCACAAATGCAATTTTTGGGTTACATTTAAATTTCTTATCTATTTGTGTCTTATCATTTAGTTACGTGTCACAGTTACAAAAATATTGAGAAACAATTCGGAAAGATAGGTTAAGGAAGCAACGTGACAACATCGGTTCAATACTCACCTTTGTTCTTTTGCGTGCGAGCAATCTCCTTCTCAATTTCGGAGATCTTTTCTAATATCCCCATCGCGATGTTAAAACTCGTTCACAATATTATTACATTTACTAAGAAGTCAACAAACAGGTTCGACTGACGACAAAAATAATTTTTAGTAACAACTGGTGACAATTGAATTGACTTGACAATGACAACAGCGCTGATCATCTGACTAAAGTTTAAAAAGGGCGTTCATAAACTTTAGTAATAAGTAAACTAAGGTATATACATAATAGGCGCATAAGCATAGTGCATAAAGGTGCCTTTTCATGCTTGCTCGACGCTCATTTTCAGCGTCAAAAGAATCACGTGATCACGGATGCTTCCAACAAGCGACACAGATGACACGGTGTGACATTTTTTGATAAATTTTGGAACACAATTAACGGAAGTTAGCGGTTAGCCCTCTGCACAAATAATCGTGAACTACATCGCTGACTCGTGGTCGCTCAGTGACGTGCTTGTCGAGGAGAGGTTACGTTTCTTTCTTTCGTTACATTATTTCTATCGAAAATGTACGACGACTATACCGAGGTATACATCCGCTTTTGCTTATTTTTTATTTCACAACATCGAAATCTCAGAATATTCATAATTCCATCTTTTATTCGTATTTAATCTAATTAATGTGCATTTATTTCTCTTCAGTATGACGCCTACGATGACTATGGGCCGTCAGATGTGCATGATCAGTATGATCGACCGAGCTACCGGCAAGTGCCCGAAGTGGTGCGCAATTTCTTGGTATTTCTGCGCAATTGCATCAACGAGGGCATGATCTTCGAGATCCAGAATTTATACGAGAACACATTTCCTAAGATCTCGGAACAGCTATTTGATAAGTCGCCATGGCCAGATGCCTCGACAATTGCCCACATTGTTGACAATGATGCAGTATTTCTTACTCTTTACAAGGAGCTTTATTATCGTCACATATATGCACGCATGCAGGGTCCTACACTGGAGCAGCGTCTTAACTCCTTCTATAATTACTGTGATCTTTTCAATTTTATTCTGCATCCTGATACTCCAGTGCAACTAGAACTGCCTGATCAATGGCTATGGGAACTCATTGATGAATTCGTTTATCAGTTTCAGTCTTTCGCTCAATATCGTGCCAATCTGTCTAATAAGACGCCAGATGAGATTGAGAATCTAAATGCGCATAATAAAATTTGGGATGTTCTATGTGTATTAAATGTTTTGCATTATCTGGTTGACAAGTCAAAGATAAAAAGCCAATTAGAAGTATATGCGAGTGGTGGTGATCCAGATTCTGTAGCTGGTGCCTTTGGTAGGCACTCTTTGTACAAGATGCTTGGCTATTTCTCGCTCGTCGGTCTTCTAAGATTGCATTCTTTATTAGGTGATTATTATCAGGCCATCAAGGTCTTGGAAAATGTAGAGCTCTATAAGAAGAGTGCATATTCCCATGTACCTGGCTGCCAGATTTCGACAGCATACTATGTAGGCTTTGCCTATATGATGATGCGCCGTTATGCAGATGCGATTAGAACATTTTCTGGTATTCTGTTGTACATTCAACGTACAAAACAGTTATTCGCCACGCGTAGCTATCAGAATGATCAGATCAACAAGCAGACTGAACAGATGTATCATCTGCTTGCCATATGTCTGGTTCTACATCCACAGTGTGTAGATGAGGGCCTGCAGCAGGCTCTGCGAGATAAGAATTACCATGAGAAAATATACAAGATGCAGTACGGTGATCTCACTGAATTTGAAAATTGTTTTGTGTTTGCATGTCCCAAATTTCTATCTCTGACATCACCGAATCCAGATAATCCTAATGAAGACTATGTCCGCGAAGCTATCAAACATCAAACACAAGTATTTATGGATGAAGTGGTCCAACAAAAAATGTTGCCGACCATTCGTTCGTATTTGAAACTCTACACGACGTTGCCGCTTAGTAAATTGGCCACATTTATGGGAAATACTAGATCTGATATCGAAGGATGGGATCTCGACAAGGAAGTAAATGCATTAACGATTCATTTATTATGCTTCAAGCACAAGATGAAAAATATTGTTTGGACCAAAGGCACATCAGGGCTAGACGGAAAATTCCAATCCGGTTCTGAGGTAGTTATTTTATTAGTATTGAATATTTTATATATTTAAAAAATTTAATTATTACGTCTTATTATTAATTTCGAATAAATTTTATATATATAAAGATACACACTAATAACTGTCGGCTCATATTGGCATTTTATACACTTTTTTGAATTTATTCATCTGAGTCTATCGATTATCTTGTTTTTTAAAAAATATAATTTATAAACAATATTCAATTAAAAAAACTGTCAATGTAACAACATAACTAATACGAATATGAAGCTTATAACAGTCTAGCTTGGATCTTAATTGCTTATATATAATTTCGCGTGAATTTATACACTGATATATGTAGTCTTCCTAAACTGTGCACCGAACAATTGTTGGTCTTGAAACGCATTTCTAATAAACTTCCGCAGTACTATCACGAATTAAATTAACAATTTAATAATTAATTGATGCTCTTTTTGGTATTTTATATCGATGTTAAACTATATTAAAATCTGAAAATAATAATTCTTATTGCGAAAAATATTACCTCGGTCGGGAGTCGAACCCGGATCGCTTGCTTTACGCGCAAATGTCACTTGCGTGATCCGGGTTCGACTCCCGGTCGAGATATTTTTCGCAATAAGAATTATCTTCAGATTTTAATATAGTTTAACATCGATATAAGATGCCAAAAAGAGCATCAATTAATTATTAAATTGTTAATTTAATTCGTGATAGTACTGCGGAAGTTTATTAGAGTTGCGTTTCAAGACCAACAATTGTTCGGGTCACAGTTTAGAAAGACTACATATATCAGTGTATAAATTCACGCGAAATTATATATAAACAATTAAGATCCAAGCTAGACTGTTATAGGTTCCGTATTCGTGTTATAATTTATAAAACATATTTAAACAGTTTTTATACTTTTTCTGCTTTTTTTAATTCATCACTTTTCCTAGTAAAAATAAGTTATATTTTGAAGAAATTTGATATGTATTTTTTACTTACCACAAGTCAAAGCACAATTCAATTTACTTTTTCGATTGTTACCATTAGTTGATGAAACTACAGAAATAGGTATAAAAAAAAAACTATTGAAACAGAGATGCATATTAAAATATTCACAGAAATCGTTTCTTTTTCTTTTAGTTGGATTTCTATATCGATCATGACATGGTTCACATCGCCGATACGAAGGTAGCACATCGTTATGGAGACTTTTTTATTCGTAAAATACTGAAGTTTGAAGAATTGAATCGCAAATTGCATCATATAAAAATCTAACTATATATTATCACACAATTACTAAACATCTTGACAGTACATTCGCAAAAGAGAAAGAATAAAATTTTCAGAAATAAATATTTATTTCTATTAAACACTTGTCATAGATATTCCAGTGACCATTATAATAAAGTGTATACAATTATAAGTTTGGCAGTATATTGTAATGCACAATGTACAAAAATCCACATTTATATTCAGTGTTTTACGATTTTTTTAGGCATTTTTACAGTAAGCAAATAAAATTGATTAATCGTATTTAGTGCTAAATAAAAATATAATATAAATATAAACTTGGAAAGAAAAGGGCACTATAGAGGAGTTAAGCGCAGATAACTTTACGCACAAACGCTGATATATATAAAACAAAACTTATTTATTATAATTATACTTACATGTTTCATTTTTGAGCCTTCTTCAGAGAACAATGCAAATTACATAAATAAATTATAAATAAAAAATAATAAAAAGGATCAAGTGATGTTTAATCACACATTGTGAGCTCTCCCACAACCAAGAATAAAATCTGATGTTAATTCCATCTTCCAGAACATATTAATATATTAATATAAAGGGAAATAAACAAATGATTAAAGAAAAAAGAGAAAAAATGAATGCTGGAACTAAAAAATTCTGGGTTAATTTCGAAAATAGATTTATTATAATTACAATTATTCTACCAGAAGTGAGGAGACTCACTACGTTCACAACGATATCGTATCGCAAACATTATTCTCAATATTCAAAAACCAGCCTTTAGAATAATTTAGGCCAATCAGTCTCAAACACACTACATAGTGAGTTACTTTAATTGTATGACGGTATTAAATTGAAATTATCAAAAGTACAAATATCAAATGCTAAGATTCAGCTACTGTGCACAAGCGAGACTGACTAGGACTCTCTTTCTCTTCTTTTCTTTAATTATTTATATTAATATGTTCTGGAAGATGGAATTAACATCAGATTTTATTTTTTAGTTGTGGGGGAGCTCACTTAAATGCCACTTGATTAAACATCACTTGATCCTTTTTATTATTTTTTATTAATAATTTATTTATGTAATTTGCATTGTTTCTGAAGAAGGCTCAAAAATGAGCAGAAACATAAGCATAATTATTATAATAAATAAGTTTTGCTTAATATATATATATATATCAGCGTTTGCGTAGTTATCTACGCTTAACTCCTAGTGTCCTTTTCTTTCCAAGTTTATATTTGAATTGTACAGGAGTTTTTGTTATTGAAAAATTATATACGTTTTAAATATAACATAACCTGTGAAAAATCAATTTTTACGAATAGATTTCCTCTGCTACTATAAGTTATTTTTAATGTAACTTTTTATATATTCAATTTTTTACACATACCAATATGCTTGTATTACTGAAATATAATAAATTCAATTACAAAAGAGAAAGAAAAATCGTAAAGAAAAAAGCACAATAATACTACATATACTTTATATCAAACAAGCAACAAAATATGTTAAGACATTATATATACATAATTTTCTAATTAAACATAAAAATATCAAAACTCTGAAATATCGATAAATTAATTACAATTTATAGAAAAATTAAAATTCAGCAAAATCATCATCGGATATAAAAATATATATAGTTTTCTCTCGAGTATCAGTCAACAGTAACGTTTTCTATATTCATGGATGCAATTTTCTTTTCCCCCTTTTGTAACATTCTACATGCAGTAGCTAAAATATTAGGTTTCATCGACGCACTTGGCACTTTTAGACTGTGCAGATAATGGAAAAATCGATTGCCTCTTTTGTAATTTGTAGTCGAGCGAGATTCCTCTGCTCGGCATATTGTTCGCGCGGTTGGAAGATAATCTAACACCATGATTCGTCGATCTAAACAGGTAGATGTGACATGCGATAGCGCTAGATCCACTCCTTGTTTTAACTGTTTTTTCAGAATAATATTACTTTGATTTTGCACACAATCGTTTGCATCAAAATCTTTATACAGTATTTGATTGTTTATAAAATCCGCTATATCCGCGTTCAAATCATGCAAAGCGGAATAAAAAGACATGTTTTCAGCTAAGGATAAATTAGGTTGCATCTTCTCCTCTGACATATCTAATGTCGTATCTTCAACATCAATTAAAGATGACATTAAAGATAAACCGTCCAAATCGTCTGCTAAATTGTTCAATATATATGTATCCTTTGAATTTTTTGTATTTGTAATTTTCTCCCTCTTTGTCTTGTGCTTCTTGTTTAGCTTAATCGCAGGTTTGTACAAATAGCGTTGCATGTCCTGCCAAAGCAACGACTTCATGGTCATAGATTGTTTTGATAACACCGGTAGACCTGACAATACTAAATATTGCAACTGGAGCAATGCCTGTCTTAAGTCGCCTTCTTGCAGTAATTTCTAAATAAAATAAATTCTTGATTTAATAATAGAAGAGTGTGAAAGATTGTACAATTTGTACAACTTCATTAGAATATTTAAATTTTTAACATTATGACTTTTACATTTTTATACATTATTTCCAAATTTCTTTTTCATTAAAAAACTTTTCTTTAGAATACATTTATATTTTAATTTAAAGATCACTTACCATTAAGCAATTACGCGGAATCCTGTAATTTGTTTCTGCCAACACAATTAATTCCAGCAAGATAAACACTCTGTTACCACTTACTTTATGAAAGTAAACTTTGTTTTGTTGTGGTGCCATTTTATTTAAATGAGGACACGTATTTCTACATGTCATAACAATTGGTCGTTTAGTGTTCGATGCTAATTGATAGACAGCAGAAATGAATCCTTCATCCTCTTCAAAAACAAGATCAATATCTTCTAGAAGAATTAGTGAATTTTGCAATATTTTCGAGGTTTTGTCTTCATTCGTGATTTGTTCGAATGGAGATTTATGTTTATTTTTTTTAATTCTATGTGATTTTGTAGCTTCCTCTAATTCTTTTAAGATTTTCTTTCCAGTCCGCTTGGAAGATGCATTCACTTCGATTACGCTGTAAAAAAAATTTAATTTACTTTAAATAAGATAACGTGTAAAAGTAAAACTTCAATTTACTTTAAAATAAGAAAATGTATCTGAATTTATTTTAATATATATTTAAAGATTGTTTTGTATACATTTCCTTTGAATGAAGTGATTACCAACCTATAGCCAAGTTCCTCTGCTATCGCATACACGCTTGCGCTTTTTCCACTACCGTGCGGCCCTAATAAAACAGCAATTTGATTATTTTCATTGTTGAATGAGGAACTACAATCTGAGGAATAAAACTCATCACCACTACTGCCATCGTTCTCCTTTGTTAAAGATGCTCTCCAACCATTCAACCAATTCTTTAACTTACTCGCACTTTCTTCATTTCCGACTATCTCTTGCGCGCTCATCGGTTTATATTTGTATGTCCATGCGCAATTGTGCGATTGCTTTTCCTCGGTCTCAACACTCTCTGTTAACATTCTCTTTTGTTCTTGCGCTCGTGTTTTTCTACCTTTTGAAGATGGCAAGTTTTTTTTTAAATCTCCCTTGATTGTTGATATAGTCTCCCACATTCTCCGAACATCTGGATAAAGCTTCTCGATTTCTGATAGCACTTGCTCCACATTTTCTTTCGCGGGTTCTTTAATTGTTTTAATTGTTCTTGATGTTTTCCTACAATTAGTAATATATTTATAATTACTAATATCTATCGAAGACAAATATTTTTTCTCAATTTTCATCAAAAATTTATGTTCTATTTCAGATTTGATTGAGTCCAACTTATCTTCTAATTGTGTAACATGACTGATAGTAGGAAATGGTAATACAGATATGCCATTATTTACTTTATGGTCTATATTTTTGTTTTCTACATCAATTATATCCGATTGTAGGAATAAACGTCTTGCTGCTGTGACAGCTGAATCTATTTTACGTCGTTTAATGAATAAAGGTGCCAGCTTTTCATTCGGTTTTCTCTTCAGAATATTCTCATTGCTAATTTCGTTGGTAATCTTGCATTCGGAATCATCAGTTACTATAAATATTTCACTCATGTTATTAATTTCCTGTTCTTTTTTATTAGCTCTGTTTGATTTTTTAAAATCAGTATCTTCATTAGAAGCATCTTTGATAATGTTTGGAATGTTGCTATCTTTTATAATTAATTCTTTTTTTTCCTTGTTTTCCTCTTTTATTTTAAGACGTCGATTATGATTCTTCATACAGACTTCATTATTTTCTACATTCACAGGCTTTTCAGATTTATTCGACCTACTCAACTTTGATTTGCTTCTTGGTAAAAACAATTCATCATCGGTATCTGCAAATAAAATGATCAACGTTAATTTTACAGTGTTATTTTAAAGGTAGATGCTTGTTCAAAAGAGTATTAAAATCAGCGATCAAAGTGTGAAAAAATAATCATTGCCATCAACCAATTAACATTGGGAGACTCAATTACGCTTTTCATCATACATATGAAATATATAATACATGTACATTAATGTATATATATTAATGATAATTATGTTACCATATAAGGAATCGTTATTTTTAGAAGAATGTAACTTTATGCGCAAGGACCAACGAGGTTTTTCTCTTTTCTGTTCATCTTGTTTGACCTTTTGTAGAGAAAATAAATTCTCAGACTCTATGACGTGAATATCATTCATTGTAGAAAGATCTAATTCTGACTTTGAACATTTCTTGTTAGGATCTTTTTTATTTAATTTAAGGTCCCTCACACACACAGGTTCAGTATCAGAGTTATCAGTTCTATGTACATCTGCTTTTACAATAAAAGTAGATACACATTTTGCATCCTCACTTGTCAATCCCAGGGGTAATTTGCTGTATGATAAAAATACCAATAGTATAATTTAACAGTATAATATATAGGTTATAATTTAATTATTAGTATAATTTAACAGTATAATATATAGGTTATAATATTATATATAATTAAACAGATAATTATAATATTTAGATACTACCTAAAATAATTTAGCAAGTTTCCAGATTGTTTATTAGTCTTTATTGATAATTCAAAACTGTTATCCTTTTTATGTATGTTACTTTTACTCTCGCCTTTAAAAAACCTTATACGATTTTCAATATTCTTTTCTATTTTTTCACCCTCTTCAATTTCAGCTATTTTCTTTTTCGAAAATCCTCTTTTATCAGCTAAAGCTATGAGCTTATCTTTGCATCTGGATCTGAATTCTTTTGATTTTTCTTTACTCTCACTGTCGTCTATAGATTCTTCTGGTGGTGATTTATACTGTATTGGTTTACTACGACTCATCAGAACCTGAAAAGCATTTGATTCTCTCCGTTGAGAACCAATTCCATCATAAAATTCTTCGTTTAAATCGGTCTCATCATTACAATTAATACTATTGTTAAGAGAACTAGCCAAATTCACAATAATCTGTTCATTTAATTTTTGTTCTTGCGAGATATTCCTTGTTTCTTCAGACTGATTTTGATTTATTTCCACAGTGGATTTTGAATGCTTAAAAATAAGAAAAAACGTAGAAATTTATCAATAAACTGACATCTCAACTGTAATTCTTCTTAAGATTAAAAAAAATACCTTCTTAAGATGACGCTTTACATCTGATTTTGACGTTCCACTTTGCAAAGTCTTTTGACCGTTGTTTATCTCGCCGTTGAATGGACTAGGTGTTTTGTCGATTAAATTGCTCTTAGTCTCAATTATGTCACACATTCTGCTTGAAGAACCAACACTTGATATCCGGATCCTCACACGCTTACGTTTACCTGTTGCAATAATTTCTTCTTGATCCTCCTCTTTCACATTGTCTAGATCAGTATCGGTCTCCTTATCAACGATATTCTTGCCATTGTCAAAATATTGCTTGATGTCTTTCATACTTTGACCTCAGTATCCTTTTTCCTGTTTTATCTGTAATTTCTCGATCCGTTAAGAACGTAATACCATTGTTCTTCTCTTTCTTCGATTTCCGCAAAAGTTCTCGAAAGTAGTGGAAATATTCCAATGATGAAAAATTAACGGACGTTAAAAACGAAATGATTCGGTATGCACATCAATGACGAAAATGATATGCACATGCACGGTGTCGACTAATAAACGACAAAACTCGTGAAAATATTACTTTCGCGTTGCAATTTCGAGTAAAATACATAAAATATTTATATTGTTCGTTTTTGGGTCATACAGTGCAACACAATATCAATCGCATGTTTGCATGACACGACATGATCACGGCTTCCCGCCTTTTTAACATATCTTTTAAGTCTTTTTATTAATAGGCTTGTTCTTTTTAGCTCAACTTTTGCACCAGTTCATCTTTTTTCCTTTTCTCTTCTTCTGGAGAGAAAAGGAAGAAAGATGAACTAGTGCAAAAATTCAATTAAAAAGAACAGACCTAAATACTATGTTCCAAAACTCATTAAGAAATTCCATAATTTGCATTTATTCCAGTAGATGGCTATCTTTTTCTTAAGGCCGCAGCACACACTTTTGCATAACGCATAAAGCCCAAAAAGGGAGCACAGACTTTTGCATAAAGGTACAATTCCATGCTGACGCTTGCTTGACGCTTATTTTTAGCGTCAAAACAGATCATGTGATCAAAATTGATGCTTAATATTCGTCAATTTGTATCACGTGATCTGTTTTGACGCTAAAAATAAGCGTCAAGCGTCAGCATGAAATTGTACCTTAACGCATAAACCATATACATAAAGAATTTGATTGGTTCATTGACTCATGCATAAAGCGGGGAGCACAGACTTTTGCATAACGCATAAACCATATACATAAAGAATTTGATTGGTCCATTGACTCATGCATAAGAAAATGGGCCAATGAAATTCCTTATGCACATGCTTTATGCGTTATGCAAAAGTCTGTGCTCCCCGCTTAAGGAAATGGGCCAATGAAATTCCTTATGCACATGCTTTATGCATTATGCAAAAGTGTGTGTTTCTCGCCATAGGCTTTAGTAATATTAAGTTTTTATGTTGCCCCTGTCTGATAGGTTCGCTTCTAATGGCTGTACCCCCTCTTAGATTTTCTCTATAAAAGAAAAAAAGAAGAAATCGAAATATTCGAAATGTTGATGCTATTATTGTTGCTATTCCCGCTGATTCTTTTCGTTGTGCGCAAATTCTGCCTGAACAAATTAAAATCCGGCAATAATGTTTGCGTGTTGGTTTTTGGTGACATTGGCAGAAGTCCACGAATGCAATATCATGCGATTTCCTTCGCCCGGGAAGGTTTCATCGTGGACGTTGTAGGTTATCCTGGTTCGCCACCAATGAAGGAGATCAGCGAGAATGCGCGCGTGCAGATCCACTACCTGCGACCGCCTCCTTCTGAGTTGCATAATAGTACGAATTGGATATTGTCATCTTTTCACAGATTTCCTTATGATACATTTTATATCATTCACTTTCTAATCTGTTTCTCTATATTTTTGTATTTGTTTATAGATTTTCGTAACAATTGCATTCTTGTTATTATTTCAGAATTGCCACGTCTTTTTTGTTATATAGTAAAAGTGATATGGCAAACGGTTAATCTTTTATGGTTGTTACTTCGTAAACGTCTATCAGATTCAATAATAACACAAAATCCACCTGCAATACCAACCATTCCAGTATGCTGGTTTTATTGTCTTCTCACAGAAGCACAATTTACGATTGATTGGCATAATTACACCCATTCAGTCATGGCATTGAGCTTGGGAGAAAGCCATATCTTGGTTAGATTAGCAAAAAATATTGAGACGATGTTTGGTTGCAGAGCAAATCATAATTTCTGTGTCAGCAAAGCAATGAAGGAAGATTTAGAAAGCAAATGGACTATCCAGTAAGCATTAGTTATTATATTTATATATTATATTTTAAAACAAATTGTTTATTCGATAAGTTCTTTTATTACAGAGCAAAGGTCTTATATGATAGACCAATAGATAAATTCCATCCAATAACTTTTTTAGAGAAGAATGAGTTTCTGCAAAAATTAGCTGAAAAATATAATATATCAGTACCTTATTTACCTAGAAGATCAGGTTTTATTGTATCTAGTACTAGTTGGACTGAAGATGAAGATTTCTCAGTTTTACTAAATGCATTACAAGGTATATGTTCTATTAAGGATAGATTTGGCAATCTTTTACAATAATTTAAAAAAATTAAATTTGTAATGTTTTTTTCATATTTATATTTTTTTAGAATATGAGAACGCATGTGAAAATAGTGAGTTAAATTTGCCAGATTTGATTTGTGCAATAACAGGTAAAGGACCATTGAAGGATTTTTATATGGCTATCATTAATTTAAAAAAATGGAAGCATGTTGAAATAAAGATGCCATGGCTTGAGAATGAGGATTATCCCAAAATATTAGGTATTACACATTTCATATCTCTATATATTGTTGCTAATAAAAAATGACATTTTTCAACCTTGCTGTTCGGATCTATTTGATTCAAAATAAAATTTATTTTCTTATTAATATTTTATTTAAAAACTTTTCTCTGATATTTTATAACTCTATCTGATTAATATGAGTGTTAATGTATGTGAACATTTTTTGTCTTCAAAACTTTTTAATCATAATAACTTAAATGATATGATATCAAATTTTATTGGACATGAAAGTTTAAACTAATAAATATACTGATGAGAACCTGCCATAACGGTCAAACTAAATGTCGGTTGTTTCTATATATTACGTGTGAATTTATATACTACATATGTAGACTCTTAAATGTACGCCGAAATTTTTTTTCAGACTTACAACGCAATCTTTAGTAAACTACCATAGTACTATCACAAGTTAAATGATATGATCTTATAGTTTTGAATAGACTGACAGAATTAATATAATACAATAATCATTTTTTATCAAATATTTATATAGAATTACTTTAAGTACTTTTTATTTTTAAAACAGCTAGTGCAGACTTAGGTGTGTGTCTTCATATCTCATCAAGTGGATTAGATTTACCAATGAAAGTTGTTGACATGTTTGGCTGCCGTTTACCAGTTTGCGCATATGATTTTAATTGGTATTAATATGGTTAATATAATTATTAAAATTATTATATATATTCAGTCTGTTTACTAAGAGAAAAAATGTATTTTATTGTTTAGCTTATCCGAATTAGTAAAACACAATGAGAATAGTTTGGTGTTCACGGATGAAAAGGATTTGGCTGAACAATTGAAGATGTGGTTTCAAGATTTCCCCGAAAATAAGGCACAACAACAATTACGTGAAAAATTTCAAGAGAACATGTTTACATCTCAGCAAAATGATAATGATTGGCACAGTAATTGGAAGCTCAATGTGTTGCCTTGTTTTCAAAAGTGACTTTAATTGTATTGTTCCATTGTATTTTCAGCATAAACTGGAAGTGATAATTATTTATTACATTAATATATAAGAATATTTGATTACGTTTTATAATGTATAATAAGTATAAGATTTTTATTTGTAAAAATGTAGATCATTAATGTTATAAAATTATATTTGATTTTAACATTTTTATTTTTTTTCAAAAGTAGTGAACCAAGAACATTATAAAGTTACAGTTAATTTTCTTGATGTTATTTTCATTATTGTATGTTTGATATCTTCAATTTTCTCTGAGAAATAAGAAGATCCAATCTTGATCGCAATAACACTTATACCGGTAGATATACAACATGCTCGACCAAGTTGTTCCTTCTTACATGCATAAATGTAAGGTATCTTGTAATCTTTTATCTCCGCTAATTTTGTCAAACGTGTGAGAAAGTTCAATGGTGCCATCAAATGAGTTGAATTTTCAGCAAGTACAATAAATTCCACTAAATTTCGTTCCATCGAGCTTATCACGTCTGTTAATCCGATGAATAACATATTTCTCTCCGTGTAATACATTTGTCGAATCAATGTTAGTAATTCGTTACATAATTTCTCTGTTACAGTGAGGTCAGCAACACAGTTACATTCTTCAGACTGTGCAAAATTAAATTAATAAGAATTAGTTTAGTGTGAACACTTAAGAAGCACAGATTTTTTGTATAACGCTGTAGGTATAAGAAAATCAACTAATCAAAGTTCTTCATTTTATATTCTGCTTGGTTGAGTCTCTTACATGTTTTATGCTAAAGTTTTTGCTCCAGCTTTACGGTGCGATTCATTTGACGTTGCATTATTGATTAAAATTAAAAAAAATTTTACAAATAGATTAATCAGACAATGCTTTAAAGCATTTGTAGCGTTAAATAGATCACACTCTTAAATGTATGATAACTGTTTTTTCTACATTAATATATTAATGTTAACTTTGGAGCAAAAATGAGGTCCTATTTTGGAGTAGATAGATGTAGATAAGTTATCTCTAAGTTGATAGGTATGAGATAATTTACACCTATTTACTTCAAAAAAGAATCATATTTTTTGATCCTCAGTACAATACTCCTACAATGATTAAATTGTTCAATTATATTTGGAGTTTTCATTTTTGTAATATGTATATATAGTGTGTTTTATTTTAATCGCTCTAGAGAGAGAGAGACAAATATCTCGAAAAATATGGAAGATACGAAAAATTGTTTCAGACAAAGGTTGTATGGTTTCGAGGGGGACATATGACGGTGCCATTAATTTGACCTTGAATAATTGTATGACGGTCACATAAAGGCCACTTTTAATTTCTTAAATAGAACGCTTCATTTTGCATTTTATTTTCTTATAGTTTATATATATCTCAAGAGCTTTCCGAAACACTATAATTAAATATTTTTTCATGACGTACTTTTCGAGTTATGAGGTTTGAAAGTCACGTATGTGCCGGCATTAGCATTACCCAACATGTTTAATGGACGGCTAAAATGGACCTGTTGAATGTTGTTCAAGATCATGGTCTGGGGGTCAATCACGTACTTTTTCCCCTAGGGCGGAAATGTGAAAAGTGAAAATTTTTTGCATGTATGTGTGTATATGATCATACATACATTCATAAAAGTTTTCACGTTTCCGCCCTAGAGAAAAAGTTACGTGATTGACCCCCTGAATAACATTTGTCTAATGTTTAACACTCTAGGTCAAAGTCACTGGAGGTAGTAATTCTTATTTTCATTTTTACGTATAAAAATAAATTTTTAGTGCAAAAATGAAAATAAGAGTTTACAACCTCCAGTGACCTTGATCTTGACAAATGTTATCCTGATCATGATCCTGAACAGCATTCAAGAGGTTTTAGCCATCCATTGGACACTTTCAAGCATTATAATTTGAAAAGTACTTAATAAAAAATATTTTATTATAGTGTTTTAGAAAGCTCTCTCTTTTGAGATAAAGCTATAAGAAAATAAAATGAAGAATGGGGTGTTCTATATAAGAAATTAAAAGTGATCTTTATGTAACCTTCATACAATTATTTAAGGTCAAATTAATATCATAATCTTATGTCTCCCTCGAAACCATACAACTTTTATCTAAAACATTTTTTCGTATTTTCCATATTTTTCGAAATATTTGCCTGGGGCGATTAAAATAAAACACATTATATAGAAAAAACACAAACTTGTTTTGTTCGACTTTTTATTAATGCTTTAAGTTTATTTTGTATACAAAAAATTCCGTACGTAAAAGATTGAATATTTTTTTTTTTTATAAATAGTATAGTAGCAATAAAGATTTTACGTTATGTGTCACTAATAATGAGGTATTAAAATTAACAAATAGATAGATGTCATCTAGATTAAAAGCCTCTCAATCTCTTGTTGTATGGCCTTGATCTGTGGTTTTAATTGTGAGCCTTCATTGACCAATACTGAACAGGCTACCACTGGTCTTGAAACTCCACAAGCTCGTCCTAGGGCCTGTTTGCTCCGTACGAAAACATAGGGTACATTCTTATCTTCGCACAATAATGGTAAATGGAGCAGGATCTCCAATGGTTGGGTATCTGCAGCCATCACTATAAACTCAGACAGGCCACGATTCAAGGACTTTGTAGCCTCGTTTGCACCCTTCTTTAGTTGACCATAGCTCAATGCTTGCTGTACCAAATTCAATATTTTTATAGTTAGCGATGCATCCGCTAGTGGATATGCCTTTGGCGATACTTCATCCATCTGAAAAAGAAATCACACTTATGTATGTGAATGTATACAAATTTTTTAAGGCTCATATAACAGAAGTCTGTGGCCGCTAATATTGGCTAATATAAAGATTTATTTTCCAGAAAGGACACTGTATAATACAGTGAATTATTTTATCCTTGTTTAACAACAACAAGAATGTAATGATTCACTGTGTGTGTGCCTTACTGGAAAATGTTCTCAAATATACAAACAACTCGCGATATTTCCACGTGGGAAAACTAACCTCAAACAACAGTAGCACTACGGAGTATTAGGAAAGAGTATCGACACTATCGACTCCTTAGCTTTTTCGTTCTAAAAACGATCCTCAATTTGTTTTCACCGATAGGAGGCGTTGTGTAGTTGAGGACCCGACCGTCTTCCGTTAGCGCAAATATTATTGGAACTAGTTTGTCTATTTTTACAATTTATTATTGCACAGCACTTTTTCACCATGTTTTATTGAATATTAAGTGAAAATGAGTCGCAATACTCCCATGTACCACACACATGTGGACATGGTTCCACCTCCACAACCGGAAGAAACGGGTTCTCAGCGATAGAAGCGCCACGAATTTCTTACCGCTGCGGTGCTTACAGTAAATTGCAGAGTCGATACTCCTTCCTAATACTCCGTGAGTAGCACGCTTTGTGATAAAAGACAAATATTGCGAAATTACTCACTGTATAATCGCCAGTCGAGCTTTCTCTTCTTCTTCTTCTTTAATTAATGATAATTTAAGATATTGAATAGGAGGACGATGCGCGACCAGATCACGTCCAAAAACTTTTATTCCGAATTTTATGCATGAAACTTTTGACGCCCCTGACTTTCACTGAAATGGAAGCAGTGCGATACGACACCAAAGATGGAGCAAATGCTCGCATCAAGTAATCTCTCAGTAATTTCGCGAGAAAGTGCCGAAACGGCCGAAACTGCCGAACGGAGCAGAGCAGAGCAATATACTCCGCTAGGACGGGAGGATGAGGAGGGGGCAGGAAAATGCGTCTGCGCAGAAGTCGCGAAAAGGCGCCGAGTTTGAGATTAGAAGCATTTATTGCACCATGATTGCAGGCATTGCTGAAAGTTAGAATCAAGCGACAAATAGTATCTGAAGGACTAGAGATAGCTTGCAAAAATCTAATGTGACGGTCCTCCTCATCCGAGACGCGATCGACAGCCCGCCGCAGATAAAGGGCTTTGGAATTAGTTTTTGGACAGTCATATAAATGAGATGTGAGAAATCCCCTGATGTGAATACCCGCAAGTATATGGAGGGATTATCAACTAAGTTTTTCCGAAATAGACTAAAATTAGTATTATAGTGGTCACTGCGCAAGCGGTTGATCATAACGATCGCTTTTCTAGAGACCTTTTTGCGGTAATACCAAGGTTCCGAGGACTTTTGGAAAATAAAATGTCTCAAAAATACTTATTAATGCGTAAGCGTTATTTATTTTTGTGAAATTTTATTTAATTTCGTTTGATTATGTTACCGTGTGTGTGACACCAAAATAATAAAAAAATATTAAAATTCCAAATCTTAATTCGAATAAATATTTTTATAGGTTAATTGTTACAATTACTTGCATTCTTTTCAATCGTGTGTGACAAAAAGAACACACGTTCTTCTGTTAGGAGGAAAATGTTTACTATTTCTTTTATTTATTATATATTAGAATAATTAATTTAAATATAAGGTAACATTATCCTTGTAGGAAACTTACGGAGACATTAAATTTAAATTTTAGAATTTGTGAAAAATAGCGAGAGAATTTATTTAAAAAAATGAATCGCGTATTTTTTCAACATTTTGTCATTCGCATCAATTTGCATTTTATAACGCAGTATTAGAGCGAGTTTTTTAATTCATCAATCACAGTTAAAACTTTGTTTCGCAGACGCTGCATTTGCGCATAATGCGATTGATCAATCGATAAATTGAAAAACTCACTCGTAAACGTTTGTTTGGCATCATGATGTATGTACCCTAGTTTGCTCCTTATTTGATCTTTTAATTATTCTTATATTGCAAAAGATATATCAATATATCTCTTGTGTGCAATATTAATATAAGAGAGAAAGGAAGAAGAATGGAACAAAGAAATGTAATAAAATTACTTCGATTTTTAAAACTAACTTCCTTTATTCACGCTGCCATTTTATCCGCATTCTTATTGTATCCAATATGATTAAAATTTCTCAAACTCTCATCAGCCACTCTCTGCTCTTATTTCTAACTATGTACTAAAAACAATTTCACGTACAAAAATAATAACAATAAGAGATAATAAACAACAAAGATTCAATAACATATAATTCATATTCACATAGAAAGTAAATACTTGTCTATTTATACATATATGGATCATATGCAAAAAATACTAATTCTGATGGTCCTGCATATTTCATGTTTATACATATCAAAAGGCATTCCTACATTTCGGTATTTCGCTTCGCTACATAAAATATTTTCAGTTCAAAATATCGTTATCGGAATTACGGATATGCAATATACGTGTGTTATAATATAGAACAATTGTTACATCATGTGATAAACTGTCGGTAATATCCGAAATAGAATATGTACGTGTATTATTCAGAACTCTATGACTTTATATATAAAAAGTCTTCTTAAAGTATGTATTACAACTTTAAGTGAGCTTAATCTCGATATCTTTCAACAATTTTCTATTTCTCAATGTAATATTTCTAAAGATTAAACAAAAATTGTTTCCAAAGTGTTTATTTATTCGATAGTTTGATTACCGAAATATTTTGACTGTTAAAAGCGAGACCTTTATTTGAAGTCTCATTGTTCCGATTATTGTATTTGTTTTATCTCGATCATTATTGACGTTTTCTTTTTTTAACAATTTTCCTTCGATTTATTTTACGTAATATATTAATCTTAAAGTACTTTTTTTACTTTCACTTATCTAATTATATAAAACAACGATACGCACTGTTGTAAGTAAAATAATAACAAAAAAATTAACTTGATGTTAAGTTTATCAATGCATTGTGTTCGTAATTATAATATTATTCTGTAGCAATTCGTAATAATTTTTTATGTTAAGTATCGAAAGTTGTATACGCGATTCGGCGTCTCTAGCAGCAGTGTAGCGATATAAATTTCGCAACAATGTTCTTTATATTATACTTCGTAATATTCAATGCGTTAATAATGGCGTAACTTCTTGTGCCTCTTTGACTCGTGAACATCGATTGCTTAACAGTATCACAACATGGATCTTCAAACATGTAAAACAGCGACATTTGGAGAACTCTACGAGATATATTGAATAAATATATAAGTTATATGGCGCATATAGTATATTGTACACATTTTCTCCATGAAAACATTAAGAAAGGAAGTGTAAGTAAAAAGGCACTATTTCCGGGTATGGGAAAGAATCAGTTTCTCTAGGCCTTCCTAACACTTTTATCAAGTCCCATTACGACATCACAGACCCCGCATTAACAGAAGTTACGCCGCTGTGAATATGTCACCCTCATTTCATTACACTTGCATACTTGTAAAGTCTTAATCCATTATTCATTCATCATAGAACACATACCAAAATATTTTAATGGAGTAAATAATAAATATATAGCCACTCTTAAATTTAATATGTTCAAGCATACCCAACAAATACACTGGAAGCATAAACTTATTGATTAGTTGCTTTATAAACTAGAATTGAATTTATCATACGCTACAAAACAATGGAATTTTCTCTTAATATCGGTTGACTAGCCACTGGGAAAATTAATAATTGGCAAGAGAAAGTTCGATTTTTTCTACGCAGTTTCAATATGCACATTATTTAGTCACAATAAATATCAGCTTCCTGTAATTGCATTATGTAAAAACACCGGTGTTGCGTTATATTGACTGTCGAGGATGACATCGATTTAACAATCATTTCATTAAACGGGTGTTTCGTGATCAGTCTCTTCGATTCTTCCCAATCTCCAAGCATTCGGATCTCCTGCCGCTGTAAATTAAGAGCAATTTTTAAATAATTTTTAATCATAATATAAAAGATACAGATAAATAAACAAATTTTTAAATAAACATATTTGAATTATCACACACGTATTATATATTATAATTATATTTTCTTCTTTATAATAAAGTTGTAGAGATAGGTATGGAATATTAGAAGTAAAAATATATGGTTTTATAATATTTTCAAATCAGTTACAAATATGAAAGAAGATAAGAATTACGCAAGAATCGAAATATATACCATTCTCCTTTCAATTATCAAAATTTTTCAGAATTAAACATATTTTCTAAAACAAATGTGCTTAACGTATCTTGTTTATGGGTGTACTACTTTACGGTGTACTTGGATTTATCGTGTACAAGAATTTTCGAAAACATAAAGAAACTCACCTTTTGATACAATATCCAGGAAGAACAATTAATGGAATTATTCTGCGACATTTGTGTAATATATATGCATCCATTGCAGGAACATACATGTACGTCACATACGATTTTTGTGCTAGTGTTGTACGATCGGTAGGTAAGGACATTACAGCGAAGTCTGAACGTTGTTCGATATAGGGTGCGGGAGAAATGTACAGGGTGGCACACGTAGATGGTTCGTATGGTGAAGGGTATTATTCAATACTTCTTGATTCGTGTACAGCAGCGGCATTCTTTCTTCTATTTCCAAAGCAAAATCAAAAGTTGATGCAAAATCATAAAAAAAAAAGTGCATATAAATGAATACAAATATCTATGACATATTACTAAATCTTGACAAATATAACAAGACATTATGTATCAAAACTATATTACTTTAAAGTAAAAAATATATTGTATATTTTAAAGATGTCAAATCATGATATGTAAATGTACATGTACATACTATGTAAAGAGCTATCATTTGTATAAAATGTTCACAAAAATTTTAACATGACAAGTTATAAAATATATGTAATAAACAAAAATTTACTATAAAATTATAGTATCATGAATGTGTTAAAAACATAAGAATAATATTAAAAAAGTGAAAAAACTGGATACATATAAAACATGCGCATGCCTGATTAATGTAGAAAATGTGCATTTTACTAATTATACATAGAAAGGGATTGACAAAAATTTCTAAAAAATAAACAAGATACAGATATACAATTTCTTTTGTTTTAAGAAAAAAAATTATCTCAATATTAGAATGTTAGAATACTAATAAAAGTTAAAATACAAAAAATCAATTTTGTACACAGTGTTTTAGTTGAATTCTTCAATATTAACAAAAATAAAAATTGAAAGAAATGTATACGTACCTTGAAGTTGACGACTGATGAGAGCAGTAATTCCTTGACTATCACCAGTCTTTTTAACAACAAAAAGTTTTGTCTCAGCGTCATTTTCTAAGGCTCCAATACCACCCAGACCAATTATCTGTCCATTCTGCTGCTGATGACTGCTAGCAGCCATCGTTTCACTCACCTATTACAAATAAATATGATAAGACACACATATTGAAATTTTTTTATTAAGCTTCAATAGATAATAATTTTATAACTTCACAAACCATAATAAACATTCTACATTATCAAGACTTTTAAAAAAGAATATACCTGCATCAATTTTTTAACTACAT